AGGAAATTTGTGTAGAATATAATCAACCTGGAATTTTTGGTTGTATATGTATAGGTATACATATATATATACACATAGAGAGAAAAAGAGGGAGAGAGAGAGAGATTGCAGTAATGGCTTTTAAAATAAACTCAAATAATAATAGAAAACAAAACATCTTCATGCATATCATAATCTTTTTTCTACAACAAAGCCTTGTTTTAAAAATGTGCACAAGGTTATATACTTTTATGTATTTTATATAATTTCTTAAAGATACATTATCAAATTAATATTTTCTAGCTGGAGTACCATATTCAAGCGTGATAGTAAACACTCCAAACACACCAACTGTTACAAAATAATTATGTCTATGTGTATTATTATGTTTTCCATAGTAAAATTAATCATAAATGATATGAATTATTGATTAAATTTAATGTTTATAGACTAAAGATCTATGAAAAGCCACAAGAGCATTATTTTTACATACTTTTCAAGAAGTCAAATAACAGTGTAACCTTTGAGTATAACAGAATTCATTTCTGTAGCAGAATTACAAATACAGGAATTATAAATACAAATGATACTCCATTAAGTCCATTCCGCTTTTAACTCTACAACTATTTACAGCCACAGGCAGGAATAAAAATGTATATATAGGTGTGGAAGAAAATTAATCTATGCTGTTACCTTTATATTTGACCTTGCATGTAAAAAGTAATTTCAAGAAGGGGTTTTCCCAAATAACCACTAACAAACAAGCAAGCGGAAACACAAGAAAAAAAATAAAACTACTTACTGACAGTGACTTATGGGTGGAGGAAAAATCCCTTTGCAGCTAATGTTGGAAAAAGTGTGTCCCCTGTAAATTTAGTCTAAGGATTAAGAAATTGGCCAGGCACTGTGGTTCATGCTTGCAATCCTAGCACTTCAGGAGGTCAAGGAGAGCAGAATGCCAGAGCTCAGGAGTTTAAGACCAGCCTGGGCAATATGGCCAAACACTGTAGCTACTAAAAATTAAAAAAAAATTTGAAGTTAGCCTAGCTGGGCATGGTGGTGCATGCCTGTAGTCCCAGATACTCAGGAAGCTGAAGCATGAGAATCGCTTGAACGTAGGGGATGGAGGTTTCAGTGAGCCAAGATTATAAATATAGTGAATTAATTTCTTAAATTAGAAAATAACTTAGGTTACATGCTATAGTTAACTTCCTTAACTGGGGGGAGAAAGTTGAACATATATCTACATATTTGTTCTTAAAATGCTGCAATGTACTATAAATAAAACAACAAAAAGGGAGAAATGAAAAAAAAAAAAAAAAAGATTATGCCACTTCACCCCAGCCTGGGTGACAGAGCTAGACTGTGTGAAAGAAAGAAATAAAGAAGGAAGGAAATAAAGACAGAAAGAAAGAAAAAAGAAAGAAAGAAAGAGAGAAAGAGGGAGGGAGGGAGGGAGGGAAGGAGGGAAGGAAGGAAGAAAAGCAGAAAGAACAGGAAGAGTGAGTGAGCCTGTTTAATGACACATTGACACAGAACCCAGGCAGTGATTATAGAATAGGACCTCCATAGTAATTGTAAGAATTCTGGCCCTTAAAAGACAAAAGTTAAATTTCATAAAAAAGTTTAATGTCAAAATCACTTTTTAAAACTTGTTTGTAGACTTTAGAATGTGAACTTTATTTGGCTTAGATTTTACTAAGCTATATTTTGTAACTGAAATTGATACTTCATTTTTGCCCGAAATTAGTAGAAAAAACAATAGCCAAAGTTTACTACAGAGAAATAAATGTCAATAATAGCTTTTTTTTTGAAAAGGTAGGGAACTTTAATTAGTAATACAAGTTAAGAAAACAACAAAGGTGTGGGATAATGAAGAAAAATATGCGACGGTAATTTTTCATCGAAAAAAGGGTTATGTTCCTATTACCTGAAGTCAAAATGTGTTTCACTGCAAATATACATAAAGATTAAGAATTGTTATTTTATGCCATTTCTCCAATAAGCCAACATATAACTTATCAAGCCATAAATGTTTTTAAAAGAAATATGATTAAAATTATACAAAATGTTATAAAAATTTCAGAAAGAATGGTGATATTGTGATATAGCTGGCCTAGAGTTAGAACCTGTACAATGCCATTTTATTAATTGACAAAACTGTTTCCATTCTCCTCACAATGACTGCTAACCTTGGCTTCTGTAAACTGCTAGATTACTTTGCAGGATGCAAAGTAAGGTAAAGCTGCATACCTCCTCTTATCTGTAACTGCCAGAATTGCTGGCCTTTGTTTACCAGAGTAAGCACCCCCAGATAATTCCATCCTGGCACCAAGTAAATAAAAATCTGTGTATCCCACCCCTACCCGGATGATGTGTAAATGAATGCTAATCTTAGCATCTGTGAACCCCTTAAATGACAATCAGAATGTCAAATAGTCCCCTGGCCCTCTAATGTCTGGAACTCCTTCACCCTCATCCTCGCCCAGAAAGTGATTTGAATCCACTGGCCCTCGGAATGTCTGAAGCCCCTCACCCCATCCTCTCCCCTCACCCCCAAGTTGATTTTTACGGGTATAAAAGGTCTTGTCACCCTCTTTTACAGGGCCACGGGTTGGAGAGACGTGAGTCCTCCGTGGTCACTGGCAATAAACCCTGCAATTTGGCATACTTTTGTCTTGGTGTTGACTTTCTATGCTCGGTCCGATACAACAATATCTTGGTACATAGTAGATTTAGTTGCACAGATAATTAGGCAGAGGGACATATTTTACATCTTCTATAATAATAACTTTATATTATCTCCTTGTGCACTAATATTTCAATATATCAAAATCATCTGAATAACCTTTCTAGTAAATCTCAACTTTGTAGATTGAAAATTTTTTTTAACTTTATTTAAGTTTAGTGGTGCATGTGCAAGTTTGTTATGTAGGTAAACTCGTATTCTGGGGATTTGATGTACAGATTATTTCACCACCAAGGTGTTAAGCCTGGTACCCATTAGTTATTTTTCCTGATCCTCTCCTTCCTCCCACCCTCCACTCTCCAAAAACCCCCAGTGTCTGTTCCATGTGTTATCATCATTTAGCTCCCACTTATAAGTGATAACATGAATAATGGCCTCTAGCTCCATCCATGTCCCTGCATAGGACATGATCTCATTTTTTGTTATGACTGTGTAGTATTCAATGGTATAATCAGTTTTCTTTTCTTTCTTTTTTTTTTTTTTTCTGACAAGGTTTTACTTGTTAACCAGGCTGGAGTGCAATGGCATGATCTTGACTCACTGCAACCTCCACCTCCTGCATTCAAGTGATTCTCCTGCCTCAGCCTCCCAAATAGCTGGGATTACAGGCATGCACCACCATGCCGGGAGTAATTTTGTATTTTTAGTAGAGATAGGGTTTCTCCATGTTGGTCAGGCTGGTCTCAAACTCCTGGACTCAAGTGATCCACCCACATCAGCCTCCCAAAGTGCTCGAATTACAGATAAGAGCCACAGTGCCTAGCCCGTACTCAGTTTTCTTTATCCAGTCTACCACTGATAGGCATTTAGGTTGATTCTTTGCTATTGTGAACAGTGCTGCCAGGAATATATGTGTTCATGTGTCTTTATGACAGAATGATTTATAGTCCTTTGGGAATACACCCAGTTACAGGATTGGTGGGTTGAATGGTAGTTCTGTTTTTAGGTCTTTGAGGAATTGCCGAATTGTTTTCCACAATGGTTGAACTAATATACACTCCCACCAAGTGTATAAGCGTTCTTTTTGGAAACAAATTTTATCAGTATCTTCAATTCTTAACACCCATGTTTTAGAAAGTAAGTGTTAAGCTTATTGTCCTTTAACCACTATTTTCATACACATTGAAATGTAAAACAGGCAAAAGAGAAAGAAGGAAGAAAGGAGGGAGGGAGGAAGGGAGAAAAGAGAGAGATGGAAAGAAAGATGAAAGAGAGAAGAAAGAAAGAATGAATGAAAAAGATAGAAAGATGAAAAAAGAAAGAAGGAAAGTGAGAAAGAAGAATGAAAGAAAAAGGAAAGAGAGAGAGAGAAAGAAAGAAAAGAAAAGGAAGAAAGAAAAAAGAGTAACTCATCTGTCAGGAAGGTCAATGGCATGATCCGTTTCCCACCAAGTCTCAGATGCCTGCACTAGTGACTTTTAGGGACTTCCCCCTCCAGTCCCTTGGGATCCAGCACTTCAGTCAGAGAATAGAACTCACCTGCCGAATGGCTCGTCTGGCCAATGGCCAGAAAAATACTGGAGTTTGTCTTCTCTCTTTAGACAGCAACCCAGCTACTGCGGAAGCGGATTGGCTGCGCTGGGGACACCTGCCGGCGTGCTTATATAAAAGAGTGATTGGGAAGGCGAGGCAGAGGGAGAGCGCCAGCCTCACCCATCCACAGCGCTCCTCCTTGACGCCGCGAGCAGGACCCTGTCTCACTGGCCCCGCTGCCCACCGCGGTCCTTGCCTGCTTCTATTCTCCCGGTTTGCCCAGTCCCGAGTATTGGGAAGCGAAGTCGGCGGTAGGTTGGGCTGGGCAGGCCTGGAGAGGGAGCGGGAAATCTAAACTCAGGAGTGGGAGGAGCTGGGACGCTGGCGGCAAAGCCACTGAGGCAGCTTTCTCGAGGGGAGCGGAGATGGAAGTCGGGGTGCAGGAATGTGGCTGTCCCAGCCTGTAAATCATGGATGTGGGGTAGGCGCTGAGGCACCAGGCTGGGATCTCTACTGCAGCACACAGGAGGCGCTGAGGCTAGTTGGGTGAGTGGGGAGATTCAGGCACTTCCCAGGGGGCGGCATGCCCAGCAGGTGGAATAGGCCCTGCGACCAGGACAATCAGGAAGAAGCCGCGGATGCAGGAGGAGTAAACACCCTTGTCATAAATCGATTCTCCAGATGTTCAACAATATGTGCAGACGCTTATGGCAGTGATGAAGAAGATGATATGGGCCCTAGGAATATGCATCTCGAAGCTTGTAAGGTTGACCAAAAGGAGGGAGAGACAGACCTAGAGTCAGGTTTAGCAAATTTATTTCAACCTTCCAGGCTGCCTCACCACAGGTAGGGAAGGCAGCAGCCTGGCTTACAGACTGTAGGGGTTATACAGGGGGTTTGCAGGTAGCTGGGTGCTATTCTAAGAAAAACTGCATCTTGGTTCTCAGGGGCTGACATTCTGCTTAATCAGGTCAACATCCTGGGTTCGAGAGCCAGGTATGACCATGTCCTGGAACCTAGGCTCCCTGTTTACAAGTTTTGAGGCTGTTTTTGGTGAAAGCGGCTTAGCATGGAGAACGGGAGGGGGTCTATGGGCTTGCCTTGATGTGACCCTAACATTCCAGTCTTTTTTTACATATATAAAAGGAGGTTACATGTTATGAATGGGGACGCTTGTGAAGTGAGGCTGGCTTGTAAGTTGGTAGTCTTGGAACATCATCACATCTTATATCGTGTGGTGGGTAAAAGCCTGTGTTTGCTTCTGTAGAAACTGGGTGAGAAGACATAAGAAGCAAGGGCCAAAGACTAAGAGGAGGAGGAGAGTTATGGCAGGACCAAGGAGGCAGTAGCCAGAGGGCCAAGAGCTGAGAGACCAAGCAGGCAGGGGGACCAAGTGGAAGAACTGTTATCTCTTATTTTCTGGGTTTGTCTTTGAGCCTTTTGATAGCATTTTGTACTAACCTAGATTCACTGAGGTAGAAACAGCATTGTTTATTTAAAAATAATTGTTTTAAATTATTTAAAAGCACAGACTCTTTTTCAGCAGCGAAGAGGTCTAGGCCTCTGCCGTTTTTGTAGGGTGGTTGCTGCTAAAGAGTCTAGTTGGTTTTGAAGGTGAGTGATAGAATTTGCTAGTTTGTTTGTTTGTTTGTTTTAGTGATGATTGGAAGCTTTGGGAGAGTGACTAGAAATATGATAATGAGGTTCTTAGGCTTTTTGCTTCTAACCTGACATTGGTTGTGACTCTAAGGGTTACTAATAAGGGAATGAATTCTGCTTTGAGTGGGGGATGGGTGTGTAGAGTAGCAGGGACAGGGAGCTCTTGGTTTGGAGGGACAAGGCTAATGTTGCAGGTAAGGTACAGGGTGCAAGTACCTGTCTAGTTGGCAGGGAGACAGAAGTAGGTGGCGGATCTGCAGAGGAAGAAGATAAGATGCCTGCGGTGTTAATGTAAACAGACAAGTGGATTGAGAATAGGTGTTGGAGTGTTTAGTTTCCTTGTTTGGAGGGACTTGCACCCTAGAGTGAGGAGGAGGAGGAGGAGAGAGAGATCCCTTTAAGAGCTCATATCTGGGAAAGGGGTTTCCATGTTTAAGAGGCAGGACAGGAGGTCACAAGGAGGGGCTGGGTAAAGAGGCCATTAGCTTCAGGGGAAACTGAATAATTTACCTAGCGTGAAGTATGGGAAGAGGAATGGGAGATGGTTTGAGTTAAGCCACAGGCAGGGGGAGGGATAGTGCCTATGTGTATGTGTCGGTTGGAAGAGGTGACACATAAAGGGGCTTGGCCAAGTTTGGGGGTATGTAGGATTGTGGGACTTTGGATGGCAGGAGGAGGGAGTTTTTCATGCTCATAATCGGCAGTATACGCAGAGAGAAGTTTGGTAGCTTTGTTAGCGAGGGCAGTGGGATAGTTTTTAGTGAGGGTCAGGGCTCTGTCTACAAAGTCCGAGCCTTTTTGGATGGTGTGTGAGAAGCGAATGGGAATATGGTCCTGGGGCTGAGAAACTGGGACAGCTGAGTAGGCAGTAGAAGAAAGGGAAAAACATGTCCAGCAACAGGAAGCAAGTGTAGAGTTGGTTGGAGTGCAGTAACAGAGAGAGAGAGATTGAGAGATTGTTTGAGTCTTGTCGAAGTGAGAAGGGACTTTGAGAGCACAGAGACAGTGGGGCTATAAAAACAGTTAAGAACTTGAGGAAGAATTGGAGTCTGTATTTGGGGGAAGGAGTTGATAGGGATTGTAAGGGGAGATGGCCTCTTTTAGAGAGTTTATGAGGTGGCCGATAGAGTCCTGTGGATACTCAAACTCTCCTTGCAGATGAGCAAGGAATGGGTGAGTTAAGACTTTTTTTGTTGTTTTTTATTCCTGTGGGAATGGGGAAAGAGAGGACTTTTAATGTTTGGTATGCTATGGGGAAAGGCTGGTCCTCTTAGCTGATATTCCAGGATAGGAGGAGAGTGGAGGGCCCCTTGGGAGGAAGTGACAGAGCATACATGTCAGTCTGAGGTTATGTCTTTTAGTGTGGTAAATAGGTGGGGGGCAGAGAAGTAAGGGTGAAGGAGAAGGTACAGGAGGCGTGCACTGATAGGGAAGGATTGGTGAAGAGATGTTAGAATGTTCTTGGTTTGTTCTTGCAGGAGGATGAGTTTTTGATTTTTGACTATCCAGTTTTCTTGGGAGGAGGCTTTTTGTTTGTAACAATGAAGATTTTTTGGTGGGGGAATACTGGGGTTGGATTGTGGGGGTGATGAGGAGGAGAGAGGCAGGGGCAGAGGAAAGGGAGGCTTCTTTTGCTGCCTGGTCAGCTTTTCTGTTTTTTTGGGTGTGGGGGGCGGTTTGAGATTTCATCTGATCCTGTTTGGTGTTCTTGGCAGTGTCCTCCCTGCTTTAGCTGGGAGGTGTGCAGCTTGGAGGAGCTGGCGAATAAGGGGACCTTTAGTGATGGGGGTTCCTGCCTAGAATGGGAGTAGGACAGCAAAGCATGAGGAGGAAAGAGTGTGAGAAAATGGAGAGAGATCCAAGATGGCTGATCACTAACAGCTCAAGATTGTAGCTCCCAGTCAAAGCTCAGAGAATGAGAGGACGCCACACTTTCAGACGAATTTTTGTCACTCACGGACCAGCAGATTTCTGGTGGAGGAGCCCCATGGGTCGCCAGCACGACTCTTGTGGCCGGCGCAGCGGTTTTGCCGGCGCCTTGGCGCGGCAGCTCTTCATGCAGAGTAAACGGGACTGGTTCCCTTACTGACCGGTGTTTGGAGCTCCAGGAAGGCAGAGCTGCTTGTTGTGGACTCAGGAGGGAAGCCAGATCAGAGATTCCCGGGCAGAAAAGCACCATCAGTCTTATCGCTGCTATTGTGGCCGGCACAGTGGGTTGCTTGAATCCCAGCACTGGGAATCAATAAATTGGACGTCGACTCGGAAACCTAATTAGAAAGGTGGTAATTGTAAAGACGGCAGATGGATAAATTTATAATAAAGGGGGAAAACCAGCCTAAGAAGGCCGGGTATACCCAAAATCAGAACCCCTCTCCCTCTACAGGGGATTGCAGTTCCTCATCAGCAACGGAACAAGCCCTGATGGAAAATGGTATTAGATAGGGAATAAGTGAGGGTTTTGGTGGCACGTGGGTGCAAGATAAGTTCATCAACCTCCACAACCGAGACGTGTGAGGGAGGAGTTGGTCCTTAAAATTCAGGTAAAGCCAAATAGGTGGCCTTGGTATTGATTTAAAAAGAGATTCACTTACCTGCTGCTAATAGAGTTACCCTAGGCTCTGATACAATAATGGCAGATGGAGCCTGGGGTGCTGGGCCCCATTAGTCTGCAGCAGCTAAACCACGGAGCTATGGGAGTGCAAGTGATTTTTTACCTTTTGTCTTGGTGAAGGGGTTGCAAGTTGGAGGTACAGGCTTTTTTGTCTGCCTGTTGAGAGGATAGTCAGACTTCTAGTGACCTGTCTGCTGGCAGATGGAGCAAGGGCTTTTTGGCACCCATGGATTGGGACATGCCTAATGGCCTTCCTTGCTGCACTTGAAACATGCCCTCAGAGGTGCACTGCTATCAGGTCTTTTGTGCCCCTGGGTGCCACAGCCAGGCTGTTTAGGTTGGTGAATGGCTGCTGCTAGAAGCTGGTATTTAGCACGATCTCTTTGGGCCTTGTCTGTTGTACTTTGTTTATCCCTGTTGTTGAAGACCTTGAAGGCCAGATTAAAGAGGTCTTGTTGTGGGGTTTGAGGGCTGTCTTCAGCCTTTTTAAGTTTGTCCAGAATGTCTGGAGCAGACTGGGAGATAAAATGAGTTTTAAGAATTATGGTGCCTTCTCAAGGGCAGAATCAGCAAGAGTGTATTTTTGGAGGGCCTCTGTAAGGCAGGAAAGAAACTGGGCAGGATTTTTGTCTGCCTTTTGGGAAATTTCCTTGAGTTTTTCAAAATTCACAGCCTTATGGGAAGCTCAGTTAAGGCCTGCAATAAGGCAAGTAATTATCTGGTTACAGGACGCTCAGCCTGGATCTGTGGGCTGGTATTCTTAGGCTAGCTCTTCCCAGTGGATGGTGGCAGCTTATAGGGGCTTAGCAGGATCTTGCCAATGAAGATTGTGGGTATGTGCCTGGGCTGCAAGCCACATGAGGAAGAAGGGGACATGGACACAGATGATCCTTTTGGCCTCTGCTACCTCCTAGAGGGGAAGCAAGGGAGCTGGTTGCTGGGCATGTTGGGCTTGAGAGTTGGTAAGGGGTGGAGACCAGGAGGACTCAGGGTCGGGATGGTTGGAAAGAGAGGAGGAAAGGGGTAGGCCTGAAGTGGGGGCATACGGTGGAGGATTATGATGCTTCAGTGGGGGATTATGATGTTGTCGAGAAGGAGGAAAGTTAAGGAAGAGGAGTCAGCAGCTGGGGCTGTGGAGTGTGGCAGGAGAGGAGTCATTGGCTGGGGCTGTGGAGTGTGGCAGGAGAGGAGTCGTCAGCTGGGGCTGTGGAATGTGGCAGGAGAGGAGTCATTGGCTGGGGCTGTGGAGTGTGGCAGGAGAGGAGTCATTGGCTTGGGCTGTGGAGCGTGGCAGGAGACGAGTTGTTGGCTGGGGCCACGGGGAGGGTGATAGGGTGAGTTGGGTTTGGGGCTGGCAAGGAGGATTTGGAAATCAATCAGGATTTGGAAACAGGACTGGCAGAGGGAAGGATGACTGCGGAGAGCAGAGAAAGCCTGAACATAAGGAATTTCGGATTATTTCCCATTGAGATGGCAAAAGTTGTTTAAGTTTCTAAGTATACTGAAATTAAAAGTGCCATTTTTGGGACATTGGGAGCCATTGTTTAATTTGTATTGAGGCCAAGTGGTAATATAGTAAAAGATAAGCCTCTTAGGATGGACTTCCGAAAGGAGGCCGAGAGCATTAAGATTACACAGGAGACACTTTTGGGAGAGGTAGACTAAGAGGCTCCAATAGCGAATGGAGGAAAGAGGTAGAGGAAGAAGAGACTGCTGATGACAAGGCTGGTGAGAGAGGGCATCCTCTGTCCTGCGGGCCTTGTCCCGAATAGAGGAGGTAGCCACATGTCAGGCGTCTCTGAAAAGGAGGAACCGGAGTCCTGGAGGCCGGAAGAAGCCCTTGGCCCGGCGCTGGCTCTTTTGGGAAGGCAGAGACAGTCAAGGGTTCAGGGTAAACAGCAAGAGTCTCTCTTACTCACCCTAGCTGAGGTTCTGATGGTGGATGAGATTGCCAGCAATGAGAGAGTCGGAGATTCCTGGGTCTAGATGGAGGTTCGGACTCGGGGGCTGGCCAAGGAAGAAAAGAGAGTGGCCAGCACCTACTCCCATCCTGGGTTTCAGCACCAAAATTTTGTTAGTTGAAGGCAGTGAAGGCAGCAGCCTGGCTTAAAGACTATGGGGATTATATAGGGAGTTTGCAAGTAGCTGGGTGCTATTCTAAGAAAAACCACATCTTGGTTCTCAGTGGCTGACGTTCTGCTTAATTGGGTCAACATCCTGGGTTCAAGAGCCTGGTGCAACCACATCCTGGAACCTAGGTTCCTGTTTACAAGGTTGGAGGCTGTTTTTGTCAGAAGCTCAGCTTAGCAAGGGAGAACAGGAGGGGCTCTATGGGCTTGCCTTGCTGCGACCCTAACTATTGGAGAAACCAGCTCCCAATACATCAATGTGGGTTTAAGATCTCTCAAAGTGATCGAGTGGTCGGTGAAAAAGAAAGAGAGACAAGTAAAATGTTTTAATTAAAGCTGGGCCCAGGGGAGACACCACATAATGCTGCTCTGTGGATGTCTGACATTCCCTTGAAAACCTCAGTTTTTTTTATTATGCTCCTTCAATAGGGGTGGGGGAGCGAGGTTAAGGAAAGTTTCAGTGATAATTATACAAAAAGAATACATTTGCAAAAACTGGTGCACAAAAATCACAACGTGGTATTATAAAAGCAGAACAATGCAAAAATAACTTTCTGTGTGTCAGCATAGAAATCATACACAGCAGCAAGAATATAGGTTAAACATAAACTTACGATTATCAGCAAAACATATTGGGCTCACAGCTACAGGGGGAGCAGGATCTGACACAGGACAACCAGCCTGACCACAAAAACCACAAGAGGAGGGGCCTCCACGCAGGCCTGGAGGAGCAGTAGGAGAAGAAAGACTTTGACATCTTATCTCAACCACAGAGACAGACGCCCCTCATGCATCTGTTTATAGGCTCTCTATAAGGGTCACATTCCCTTTCCAGGGCCCTAATCAATATGCCTTTCCTGGGTAATAAGCCTCTCCATTACACGTCCGTTTATAGGCTCTCTGCAACGAGATGCCTATTACGTGCTGTCACCTCTCTCCGACAATCAAGCCGTGTGGTTAGTCCCTTTCACAGAGTTCCTGTTTTTACTGGAACAGTTCTGCAGAGCTAAAGTTACAAGTTGCTGCTCAGCAGAGCCGAAGTTATAAGTCACGTCTCAGCATTTCACATTACCCTTCATTTTCTCAAATATAATCAATACAGTAAGTAACAAGCAGCACAAAGCAAAATAACTCAGTTCGGGGAAACCAAATCCTAAGAGAATTTACAGGTTAAAAATCAACAATAATCTCTTCTTGTTATTTCAGATAGCTTGTGTTTTGCCAGTTCTTCCAGAAGCTTGTGGTTCCTCAGTCACCACAGAGGGGTTCAGAGTATTCCCAGCACCTAACAAAGCTGATGATCAAAGAATATTGGAAGGGTTTTGCAAGGCAGCCTTCTGTTAAAGGACCTGCATTCTGAGTGCCCCTGCCTTTCCAGGGGTCCAGAGAAGCAAAAGAAAGGAGAGAGGGAGAAGGGAAGAGGTTCATGTGAGGTTTGGGCTGGAAGAGGCATGGCTGAATTAAAAGTGAAAGAAAGTAATTGGTTCACAGACAACCTTTCCCAAAAGGCAGGTGATTCAAATCCCTAGTCCCACCTGCTCCTCTGGAGCTCTGGAGCATTTGCTTTTTCAAATAAGAGCGCGACCTGCTTTGAGCGCTGGATTCCAAGCCAAGTGCTGGCAAGTCACACAGTGAGCCAGCACACAGGGCGCTAGGGTTCTCCGAGGGGTGCGGGCGCTGGGTGGTGCAGCAGGCTGGAGTCCAGCTAAGAGGGGAAGGAGCTTGGTGCTCGGAAGCCAGGGACTGACAGCGCTGCCCGTCTGGGAAGCCAGGAGGACACAGGTTTTATTTCAGTGGTGCTCAAAGTGCCCATATGTGCCAGGGGAGTGAGGCGGCATGGTGGGATTGGAAGAGGCTTAGAGTTGGCCTCAATCCCTGCCCCTGCCCCTGCCCCTGGAAAGGCAGAAAGATGGGGTTGGGGTGAGGAGAAGCAGAAAAAAAGGGAGAGTGAAAGAGGTGAGGAGAGAGAGATGGGGGAGGAGAGAGAAACGGGGGAGGAGAGAGGAAAGGAAGGAGAGATTGAGAGACAGGAATTCCTAAGGGGAGCTGTCAGGTGGGCTGGACATGGGCCCCGGGACAGGCTGTGCTGCTTTATCCCTTTACTGTACGAAGTCAACCAAGTCCTTTAGATAAGTAGAACCTTGACCTCAAGTATAAAACATGGGTTGGAATAGGATAGCTAATGGCGCTGTATATTTTGACATAGCCTGATTCATGCTGGATTCTGAAAACAATCTAGGGAGAGGAAGGATATTGGAGTGTTTTCTTAACCTCTTGCCCCTTTCCACCATGATTGCTCAAGTATATGCAAAATTCATGTTTCCTTCTGCCCATTTGATGTTCTTTTTTTTTCTTGAGACGGAGTTTTGCTCTTGTTACCCAGGCTGGAGTGCAATGGCACAATCTCTGCTCCCGCAACCTCCACCTCCTGGATTCAGGCAATTCTCCTGCCTCAGCCTCCCGAGTAGCTGGGATTACAGGCACACGCCACCATGCCCAGCTAATTTTTGTATTTTTAGTAGAGACGGGGTTTCACCATGTTGACCAGGATGGTCTCGATCTCTTGACCTCGTGATCCACCCGCCTCGGCCTCCCAAAGTGCTGGGATTACAGGCGTGAGCTTGATGTTCTTTTTTTAGTCTGTGTATATTAATCACTCCTAAAGCACCTGGATCCCTCTCAAACTTCATAAGATGAGACATCATTAACAGAACACAGTGAATCCCCAGATTTTCCTAATAGTTGGGCAACAAGTTTCCGCATTTAAGGGTCTGGCAACACAGCCCAGTTCTGCAATTATATACTTTCTATTTTTGTTTTCCTAGGTTCGCTGCTATTTCAAGAGTACCCCTGTGGTAAGTGTATTGATATCGATAACATTTACATCACCTCTTTATTTTGCTAGATTATTTACTGGGCAACCTATCACATACATTTAAAACACTGGTATGTTATATATGTATGGAGAGAGAGAGAACCGGAGTCTCACTCTGTTGATCAGGCTGGATTGCAGTGGTGTGATCTCAGCTCACTGCAACCTCTGTCTCCCAGGTTCAAGCCATTCTCCTGCTTCAGCCTCCCAAGTAGCTGGGATTGCAGGCACCCACCATGCTCCACTAATTTTTATATCCTTAGTAGAGACAGGTTTTCGCCAAGTTGGCCAAGCTGGTCTCAAACTCCTGACCTCAAGTGATCCACCAGCCTTGGCCTCCCAAAGTTCTGGGATTATGGGCATAAACCATCATGCCTAGCCCACGTTGTATTTCTAATATTCACAATAAGGTTCATTCCCATCTTCCGGTGAGGAAAATGAAGGAAGAATAGTTAATTCCAACGTCATGCAGCTAGTAAGTGGCTACATAATATTTGAACTCAGACAGTCTTAAAAGTTCCAACATTGTTTTGGCACTTCCACATTCCTTATCTTGTTTGGAATCATTGCTTCTTTTTACAGATAAGAAACTGAGGCCCAGAAAGGCTAAATGAATTTCCTTAATTGTTCATTGACAGTAAACTAGAAAGCCAGGACTCTTGCTCCATAGTGGAACAGTTACACGAGTAAACATAGCCTTTAGATAACTTCCGTTTGACAAGAAATACCCGGGCTAGAACATAAATTCAGCAACGACCTGAGGAAGTAACCGAGAAGGTCAGAAATTCTATATAGACAATTACTCGTTCTCTTCAACAAATCAATGCTTTTTCTAGAATAAAGGAGCCTTATAAGACATATAAAGGAAACTGAGTATCTCAGTTGAATCTTGGTGTGAAAAAACCGGTATTGTGATTATGTCAGAAAAAGTACTTAATTTTTAGAGATAGGAAGTGACCACTAGAGTTTAAATGTCATGATGTCTCTAGCTGTAATGTATATAATCTAGTAAAATAAAAGGATGGTGTAAGGGTAGCCAAACCCACATCCAGCAACTCACACCTCAAAGCCAAACATGAAAGATGACGGTTGGTGGAATGAAAAGCAGGTTCCTTCAGAGAGCGAGCCAGCAAACTGAGAATATGGCAGACTAGCATCCCAAAGTACCCTCTTAAGTGAGTACAAGATTCAGGCTGTTTATGTAAAAGGCACAGGAAAGAGAAGGGAGTTACAATCAAGAGGTGACCATTGACTGCAGACGTCTGAGCACCATCATGGGTCAAAGAAGGTTGGGAATGTCTTTGTCCCCTGATGTTCCAATGAGCCCAAGCATTGATTTGTTGAAGAGAACAGATAAATTGTCTCTATGGAATGTCGATTTCCTGGGCTGCTTCTATGTGTTGTTATTTAAGTTATGTTCTAGCCCCTGTATTTCTTTTCAAGCGGAAGTTATCTAAAGATTATATTTATTCCCCAGGTCACAGCACTCCTATAAATTTTTAACAATGCATAGTTGTTTACATACTTTCCCTTTAATCCCAGAGTTAGTTTTTAAAACTACATGACTGCTGTTTTTGCATGTTATCTCACTGCTCTAAAATTAACCTAGCCTCCATGCATAAATAGTTAAAGGGCCCTTGAACAAAAATATATTTATGTTAATTCTTTTACTGTTTCACTGTTATATAAGTTGGCAAAAAAATGAACAATTATTAACTCTATGAGATAGGTATGTGGAGGTTCATTATACCGTTCTCTTTTTTTCTGTAATAAATTCTTCATAATAAAAAGTCTTAAAAGTATATTCTCTCAGTTTTATGACATTGAGTAAAGTTTAAGCTCCCTGGGTATTCGAGCTTTTTACCAGTTAAATGAAAGAACAATACCTATCTCCTAGAGTTGTAAGAATTACAAGGTAGTTGATGAAAAGCACGTAGAACAGGGTATAGTACACCATATGCCTACTCCATTTGTTTATTGAATGTATCTTTAGAAACGTATCTTTTTCAAGGGTGTAACATGTGCCAGACATTGTTTTAGACATTGAGGTACTAAGGACAGACATGGCTGCTGCTGTCAATGGTATTTATCTTTCTAGTGGTATTTATTACTATGGAAGATGTCACTATTTTATTTTTTAGGGAGACATCAGAGGAAAGATAGAAGGAAAATACCTCTTTAAACAAAAAAAGCTTAAGCAGCAATTAAGGTTTCTGACTATCATCCTAGGCAAACTTTCCAGATTTCTTTGTAAAATCTCATTCCAAATTTCTTTCATGAGCTCTTTCCTCACCACTTCCCTGTAATTTTATTTTCCCTTGGCATCTTCATCTTAAACGGAGACGAGATTTTAACATCAATGGAACTAGAACACCTTTTTGAAATTTCCAACTGAAAATTATTCTGTAAGGTATTTATACCTGCATTTGAATTCCATTTCTGCCACATAACTCTGGCCTTGGGCAGCTCATCCACCTTCTCTAAGATATACTTTCCCCATCAGTAAAGTGTAGATATACCTAATTTGCCTGGTCTCTATAAGAATTTACAACTAGAGATAAACTTCATAAAATGTTTAGTATAATTTTCATAAAGTGCCTGATATGCAGTGTTATGGAAAAGAAAGCTTTTATTGTTGGGGTGATTATAGTTGGTGAATAAACTATTTGCTAAGGTAACATCTGCAGGGAGAGCAAGGCTGGAGCTCAAGGGGAAAGGTGGGACATAGGACATCAGCTTATCTTTTCCTCTATACAATTAATGACAGCTTTGAAGATACTACTATAACTTGAAATTTTGAAATTAGTGTTTCAGCTGAACTATCCATTCATCTTCAAGCCATCATGAGCTGTAAGAAGAAGAGCTCGTGGGAAGACTCGGGCAATGAAAAACATAATATGAAAATTGACCACTATTTTTCTCCGGTATGTCTATAAATTCTACTTATATAATACAGTCATCGCTTTGTATCCATGTGGGATTTGATCCAGGAACTCATTGGATACCAAAATCCATGAAGCCTCAAGTCCATTATATAACATGGCATAGTATTGCCGTATAAGGTATCACATTCTCCTGCATACTTTCTAGATGACTCATATTACCTAATGAAAGGTAAATGCTATGTAAAATGTTGGCATACTATATTGCTTATTGAATGATGACAAGAAAAAGTATACATGTTTAGTTCAGGCACACTAACTTTTTTCCCCCGAATATTTTCAATCTGTGGTTGGTTGAACCTGTAGATACAGAACCCATGGGTACTGAAGCCTGACTGTTTACCAATATTACCTGCTATCCTTGGCACTGGGATTTATAGTTACTCTTGCCAAGAAATTACCTTGTGTATTGGGAATATTAAATAAGATAAAATCATTCTTACTTATTTTATTTTGGGGATAGCATGGGGAAAGGAATTGTAATACAAATCTTAGCTATATCAAAGCAGTCTTTTTTTTTAGATGGAGTTTTGTTCTTGTTGCCCAGGCTGGAGTGCAGTGGTGCAATCTCAGCTCACCATAACCTCCACCTCCCGGGTTCAAGCAATTCTCCTGCCTCAGCCTCTGGAGTAGCTGGGATTATAGGCATGCACCACCACACCTGGGTAATGTTTTGTATTTTTAGTAGAGATGGGGTTTCATCATGTTGGTTGGGTTGGTCTCAAACTCCTGACCTCAGGTGATCTGCCTGCCTTGGCCTCCTAAAGTGCTAGGATTATAGGCATGAGCCACTGCACCCAGCCCAAACATTCATTAATAAAAAAACTATTATAATATTCCTTGAATAACAACAAAAAAATTCAGTACAATGTGTTACAGTAAACTATGTAATAAACCAAAATTAATACTATTTCATAGCATGAAAACATATACCATTACAAATATGGTCGATCTGTTCAATTGTAATTATAACCTACATTTGAATACAGTTTATAAAACAATGTTTTACGTATGTGTTCTTACCATAACCTCATTAGGCAGTTAGGAAGGATTCTGACAAATCTTCTATTTGTTTACTGGAGGACAGAGGGAAGTGAGTCATTGCTTGAGGCAGGAATGAAGTGAAGACTTGGAGTTAGGTTTAATGACATGTAGTTGGGCCTTTTTCTACTGATTGGGCTCTGTTATCATATCAAACCATTGTATCTTTCCCTGAGTCTAAAATGCTCCTTGAATTTATCAAGAAAAAAGGTTGAGGAATGGTAAGCAGTTGAGTGTGAAGCTTACAATTTCTCAACTTGTTTTCTTTTGTCCTGAATCTGGTAAACTAGAATATATCTAAAAAGTCTAAGGCAAACTTGGTTATGTTTTTCTCTGCCCTACTCCATGACAGAGCTAATTACTATATCCTATTCCTCTTCCCCTCTCAGAAGGGTCTATACCTGCCCAAAAATCATTTAAATAAATAGGAAGTTTATTACAGTACTCCAATGGAGTGCATGACAAAAATGTTTCTGACAGCATTAGGCTGAAGGGATGCTCTATGAGAGTTTATATGTATGCCCAGGGTAAATCTGTATTACCTTAAGTTCCATTTATTCATTTATTTTTGATCTGGAATATTAGTATAAAGAAAGAAAACAAATGTTAACATATTATGTGCTAGTCATTGTGCTAGGCATTGTCATACAATAATGCTATGCTTAATCTTTATAATATTTCTGGCATTGTTATTCCCATTGGTAGTAAGGGGTATGGCTGGCACATGAACCCATATCTGCCAGTACCCATGCCATGATGAATATGACTTGGGGAAAATGTGTCTTTTAGGCATAGGAAACAGATACTCTAATTTTTCATCGTGTTTCTTCTGTTTGATTGATCCTCTTTATTTAATTTCTGTCCCCACCTCCACCCGTTTCTTGTGATAATGCCCTGCAAAAATGACAATAATAAATACAAAGTTTACAAAAAAAGAATATATACACTAGTCCAATGAAAAAAATAATTGTACTAGAAATTGCAATTTTGATACTTTATTGATTATTATGTGATCCTAGAAAAGACACCTATAAGAACTTTCTGTATCTTAGTTTCTCCATCAAAAGGACAGAACCATCATGTTTGTCCCTCTTTATTTTATAAAATTTTGGGATTAGTTGATGTAATAGAGAAATAATTTCAGGTTTTCATGATATATGCTGGGTGAATAAAAGTATTATTACAAATAACTATATTTTAACCAAATGATTAGTTAAATAATGATGATTTTGTTTAATACATATTGCCTATAATAAATTGTGGTAGCTTATTGCTGAAGTCAGTATTTCAAGAACAAATTTTTGGCTGTATTTCATCATTGTCCTCAGAAAATATAGAAAGTATATAGCTGATGATAATAAACAAGACCTGAATTAACACTATTTCAGATACTAGTGGACTTCGTTCTTTTTTTGAGGTGGAGTTTTGCTTTTGTAGCCCAGGCTGGAGTGCAATGGCGTGATCTCGGCTCACTGCAACCTCCACCTCTCGGGTTCAAGTGATTCTCCAGCCTCAGCCTCAGTAGCTGGGATTACAAGCACATGCCACCACATCCCGCTAATTTTTGTATTTTTAATAGAGACAGGGTTTCACTATGTTGGTCAGGCTATCTTGAATTCCTGACCTCAGGTGATCCACCCGCCTCAGCCTCCCAAAGTGCTGGGATTATAGGTGTGAGCCACCGCGCTCGGCCCCTTCTCTCATATTTTTCGGAAAAAAAAATGCACTAGTGTAGTAGTATCAAGAGTTTATCTGACAGATGTTATAGGAAGCTCAGCTTTCATTTTGGGTCCCAAGTCAAACACTGATTTAATTCTATTCACTGGCCCTCTTAGATTGGTTCTGAGTTTCTCATAGGAATTTTGTGAATTGCATACCTGAAAAGAGAAAAAAAAGACTAAGATTGCAGTCAGAGTTTTAAAGTATCTAACATTTATTTTTAGGTCTCTAAAAAGCAAAAGACTAATCCCAGTACTTCTCAAACGAGGATGGTGTCTAGAGGCAGCCCAAGTGAAATAACTAATACCCAGACTCAAAGATTCCATTCACCTAAGAAAAATCAAGACCAGGTCATGCCCCAAAATAAGATAATACATGTTACCCTGGATGTAAATCACAAGAAAAACCAGAAAATGAAACATGTGCTCACACATAGTGAGAATGGTAGTTTATATACAGCTCTCAACACTCTCCAGGCTGTCAGAAAAGAGATAGAAACTCACCAAGGCCAAGAACTCCTTGTGCATGGAGCAGAAGGAATCGAAGGGTGCATAAACCTTGGAATGCCCCTCACTAGTTTTCCTGAAAGATGCCATGTGGTCATTACCTTTTACAAAAGTAAAAGTAAGCAGAAAGAAAATAACCAAGTATTTGGCCGGCATGTCAAGGCATCAACTGACTGTGTCAAATTCTACATTCATGCAATTGGAACTGGGAAGTATAAAAGAAAAATTGTTAAATGTGGGAAGCTTCACAAGAAGGGGTACAAACTCTGTGTCTATGCTTTCAAAGGAGAAACCATCAAGGATGCTCTGTGCAAGGATGGCAGATTTTGTTCCTTTCTAGAGAATGATGATTGGAAACTCATTGAAAACCATGACTCCATTTTAGAAAACACCCAGCTAGTTGATGAATTAGAAGGCAAACTCTTCCAGGTTGAGGTTGACAACAGAATGGGCCCCCGTGAAGCAGGTCCTCAGAATCCTGAGTCAGAGAAAAGAAACACCTGTGTGTTGAGAGAAAAAACCGTGTCTCAGTACCCCAGATTGAAAAGAGAAATTGAAAAAATCAGGGAAAACCTCAAGAAAAAAATAAAAGGAAAAAATGGGAAAACATTATTTGAATTGGATAGAAAAAACTTTGCGAAAGTAACAAAAAACTCTTATTCTGTGAAAGTACTGAAACTTCTTGCACATCTCAGTGACTCGGTTGGGTACTTATTCTGGGACGGTGCAACTGCAGGTTGTGCCACCTGCTTTGTTTTTAAAGGATTGTTCATTTTAACTTGTCAGCATGTAATAAATCTCATTGTGGGAAAAGGAATAGAGCCAAGTAAGGGGGCAGACATAATTGGTCAATGTGTAAGGGTGACATTTTGTTATGAAGAGCCACAAGAAAAGGAAATGCACTGCTTTTCCGTTGAACCTTGGTATGAGATATATAGTGAAGAGCTTGACTATGTTGTCCTGAAACTGAAGGAAAATGGACAACAGGTACCTGTGGAACTATATAATGGAATTGCTCCTGCGCCACATAGTGAGTTGATACATATTATTGGCCATCCAAATGGAGAAAAAAAGCAAACCGATGCTTGTGTTGTGATTCCTCAGGATCAGCGAGCAGAGGAATGTCAGGAACGTGTTAAGGCTAAAGCAGCAGCAAGTCCAGAGTTTGTTCATATGTACACTCCAAGAAGTTTCCAGAAAATAGTTCCCAACCGTAATGTGATTACCTATGACACTGAGTTTTTCTTTGGGGCTTCTGGCTCCCCAGTGTTTGATTCAAATGGTTCATTGGTGGCCATGCATGCTGCTGGCTTTGCTTATGAGTACCAAAATGAGATTTGTAGTATCATTGAGTTTGGCTCTACTATGGAATCCATCCTCTATGATATTAAGCTAAGATATAAACCATGGTATGAAGAAGTATTTCTAAGTCATCGGGATGTAGAAATGATGAGTGCTGAGGACTTATGAGAATTCAGTCTATTAGATTTAAGGGAATAGCTTATAGAGTTGTTAGTTCATAGGCATTAATGATGGTTTTCTAAATTCCAAAATGGTCAATTTTATCAGTAATAACACTATTGACCATTTCCTATCTGCCAGGCATTTTTCTAAGCACATGAAGAAATTAATTTTAACAAGACTATGAGATGGATCATAACTTGCCCTATTTTAAAGTCAAGCAATGTGAAGAATAAGAAGATTAAATAATAATCAGTTTTATCACACTGAAAGTCATCATATAGTCACTTTTTTTCATCTTTCATATTTTCGTCTAAATTCACTAGCTACAGGGCAGGAATCAAAACTTACTCATCTCATTATTCCCTACATCTGACATAAGGCAAGTAAGTGCTTAGAAAAATGTACAGGTCACTTACTAGCAAAAGTTGGGGCTAAGGTTAATGCTAACTTAGGAGCTAAATGCTTGATTAGGAATGATCTCAGAATCTTTCAGAACATCCAATATCCTCATATTACTCAAACCGTCAGAATACGTGGGTCCTGAAGTTCAGAAGATGATAGTCATTCTTCCCATGTTTATAGGCTATTAAGGCAAGGGATATCCTAGACATCATATTACTTTATTTAGATTTCTTCTATTCCAGTTAGTAATGTTATGTATTTCTCATTGTTTTACTTCTTCACGGTATTGTGAAGACTGTATAGATGATTCAGCCAAGCCTGCAAATCTCCCTCATCTGGAATTCCACTGGACCCAATCTGTTTTCCATTGCCAGTGCAATGCTACTAAAGCCATACAATATCAAGCACCCTCCGTCTAGGTCCAGGGACTATCACAGAAGAGGTGGGCATTTTAGATTGTAAGGGCTGGTTTCAAGGGGTGCAGTGTAGGAAAACAGCCTGTTGCAATGCAAGGGTGATGTCATCTTGAAGTGCAGCTGCCGTGGTGACTGCTGTTTGACTCATGCATACCAAGATATTCTGCAGCAATGTCTTTTTTTTTGGGGGGGGTGGGGGGAGGAAGAGAGGAAGGCAGGAAGGGAGGGAAGGAGGAAGGGAGGGAGGAAGGAAGGGATGAAGGAAGGAAGGAAGGGAGGAAGGGGGGGAGGGAGGGAAGGGAAGGAAGGAAATCAAGCAATGAGAGAGACAAGCAATGTCTTTAAACAATGCCGGGAGTACAGATAATCCCTCATAAAGATGCTTAGCTAACCTCCCCAGTGGTCAGGTATTTCACAAGAAAGTCTGAGATGCGACCAGCTACATGTTTTGCCAAAAAGGCTTGCTATGTAAAAGGTATTTTGGGGAGGTTGAGTGCTGCCATTTAGTGGTTGCTGGAAACATTGCTTCTGTTTGTAAGGTCCTATTAAATGTTTCTTTCTGAGAAACTGTATTTGTCAGCCTCTTTCTTTGTCCTCTCGGCTTCTTTGGCTTTTGGGGGTAGGTTTTCATGGACTTGCTCACCATGGAACACCTGGAGACTTTTAATGAAGAATGTTATTAGAAACCAACATCTAGGTACTAGATATGCTCATTGCTACTGGGATGTTGTTTTTTTAGCCCCCTCAGCTGACAGAGCAAAGAAATATATGTGAATATATTTACTCATATATGTAGGTGTACACATATGTGTATATGCCTTTCTTATCTGTATATTCCAACTCCAAACACTGAGAAGCATGACGCCTGCCATCTCTCACACATTCACTTAATTGCTTAATCCACGTATACATATATAGCAGTGTCAGAATTGTTAACTTCTACCTCAATGGGAAATAACTTTATCAACTCAAATCCAGTGCCTATGTGCAATTTCCATGCTTGTAGTCTTAGGTACTCCATTCATTCCCTGTGTTATTCCCGTCACCATCTTGTTTCTCACCTCCTTCAGTGAGGTGGTTTTACATGCTTACAATACAGTTATACATACATAGAATAGTTAGATTCTCTTGTCACAGGGTGAATTCTTTCCTTTGACCCCTTGCCCTCCTAAATGATACTTTAATGTGTATACATTGATTTGCTCTGTGCTGTAAAGTTCTACGAGTTTTATCTTACAGAATAGTTACATCACCCTAGAAATCTGTGCTTTACTTATGTAACCTTCCGCTCTCCCCTGAACTCCAGTAAAAAAAGAAATCACTGATCTTTTTACTGTCTCAATATTGTTTATGCATCTTCTAGAATGCTATATAATCAAATTCTGTTTATATATTTAGTACGCTTTCCACATTTTTTTGTTGTTGGTCATTTTTCTGCTTAAACGGCCCCCATGCATAAAACTGAAGTTCAGTCTAGTGTTCCCAAGCAAAAGGTGGCTGTGGTATGCCTTATAAAGGAAATGTTTGTGTTACAGAAGCTGGATAAACTTTTCAGACATGACTTATAGCACATTTGGCTGTGAGTTGAATATTTTAGAATCAACAATTCATATTAATAAGATGTCTTTTCAACCTAAACACACATAAAGCAAGTTTATTTACCAACTTTGATGAAAACATTGTGATCAGAAGATGACAGAAATTCAACACTGTTACTCTTAAAGGCAATGCTTCAGTATTTGTTAATTCAGTATTTATGACATCTTTATAAACCGTTAACTACCACAAGTAATGAGATTTGACTGTATCATTTCAAATATGGCTTCAAGTCTAATGCCTGTCTAATCACCACAGAGACTTAAACTTATGTGGCTTTACTGTTTATTAAATAATTTATGACATATTATCTTAATACCTATTAGATAGACCAGATATTATTATACCTGTTTCCTGTGTGAGAAGGAATTATCACTGAATTTTTGCCAAAATTGCTGGTACCTTGGAAAGACTGGGACTTACGTCTTGAAATATAGCTTATTCTTTCTCCTAACTGAGCTGGTGCATTGGAACCAGACACCACTATGGCCATTCCTGCATCTAAAGTACACCCACCTTTGATCACTTAAGAAATATTATAAGCATTTCAGAATGTAGCAAATACCTTTTTCTGATTTTCTCTTGCCTTAGCTCTAAAGACCAGGTAGCTAGAAAATTCAGCTTAGGCCGGGATTTATCACCACTCACTCCTCCAGTTCCCAGTTACAGAGCTAGTCCAATATCCCATTCTACTCCATATCTCCCTCTGAAATGAGATAATGGTCTGAACAAGGTTGTAGAGCGGTTCACTGAGCCTGACCCTAAGTGCAGGCACTATACTTACCCTATATACCTGTAAATGTGTCTTTATTTGGACAAGGATGCTCTGCAGGTGTAATTAAATTAAGATTCAGGAGACAAGATCATGCTGAGACAAGATCATCCTCACTGGGTGAGCTCTAGATCCAGTAACGAATGTCCTTATAAGTAAAGAAGAAACACGGAGGAGAGACCCAGAAAGAAAGGCCGTGTGAAGGTGGAGGCAGAGATTTGAGAGATACATCTAGAACCAGGGGTTGTCAGGGATTGCCAGAGGCCAGCAGAAGCTAGGAAAGCAGCGTGGAATAGGTTCTCCTCAAAACCTCCGGAAGGAACCAACCCTGGTAACATCTTGATTTCAGACTTCTGGTCTTCAGAACTGTGCTGTAACAGAGTAGATTTCTGTAGTTTTAAGCCACCAAGTTTGGGGTAATTTGTTATGAACTACATGGATTAAAATAATATATTCTCTTACAATTATGAGAGGACAGGTTTGTACAACCTGAAATCAAGGTGTTTTCAGGGCTGTGCTTTCTCCAGAAGGTGCGGTGGGGGAGAGGGTGAGGGAATTAAGGCCCCCCACTGACCTACCTGTTAATGAGTCTGAGTGGCCAGAGGTGTGATTGAAATAAGCCACCCAAATGATTCTGTGGTTGTTACTCATGTGACTCAGTCTCCTCTGGGCAGGAACAGGAAGGGATGTTCTCACGACAATGTAGCAGCAAGCCCCACAACCCAACAGAAAAGCAATGTGGTTGTGGCCACTGGGTAAAGCATCCTAAAGTTAAAATACATGGTGTCAGCAATAAGAGCCTTGATATTTGATATACACCTTCAAGTGAACAAACACATTTGAAATGTATTGGTTGAATCCGAACCAGCCATTCAAAACTAAAAATGGATGTAGCCAATTTCTTTGCCTTTTGCCCCTCTTTAGCCTATCCCTTCCCTTTTGCCTCAACCTCCACTGCTTTTGGAGAAAGATAATTAGAGAGGCAACTGAGCTCTCTCTGTCCTTAAATGGGACGACAGCCATGCATACCTGTGTGCATATGCCAGGGAACTTCAGGGAGTGAAGGGCTCAAGCTTATGGCTCTGTTGGCTTCAGGTGCCCAAGTCACCATCCTACCCTGTCCTGTAAAAGAACAAGATGCTGGGCACAGGAATGGCCAAAGGCACCAAGAACTAAAGAATGGAGCTGAGGCAGTTATGTGTAAGGGGTAGAAAGGGATCTCTGGCCAAATCTCATCTTGAACTTTAGCTCCTATAATCACTACATGTCTTGGAAGGGACCCAGTGGGAGGTAATTGAATCATGGTGGCAGGTTTTCCCCATGCTGTTTTAGTGACAGTGAGTAAGTCTTACGATATCTGACAGTTTTATAAAGGGAAGTTCCCCTGCACATGCTCCCTCTTGCCTGCTACCATGTAAGATGTGCCTTTGCATCTCCATCTTCCACCACGACTGTGAGGCCTCCTTACCAATGTAGAAGTCTGAGTCCATTAAACACCTTTTTCTTTATAAATTACCCATTCTTGGATATTTCTTCATAGCAGTATGAAAATTGACTAATACAGTAAATTGGCATCATAGAGTGGGGTGCTGCTTTAAACATGCATGAAAATGTGGAAGCAACTTTGGAACTGGGTAACAGGCAAAGGTTGGAAAAAATTAGAGGGCTCAGAAGATAGAAAACTGTGGGAAAGTTTGGAACTTCACAGAGACTTGTTGAGTTGAATGGCTTTGCCCAAAATGCCGATAGTGATATGGCAGTGAATTCTAGGCTAAGGTGGTCTCAGATGGAGATGAGGAACTTATTGAAACCTGAGGAAAATGTCGTTCTTGCTACACTTTAGCAGAAACTGGTGACATTTTGCCCCTGCCCTAGAGATCTGTGGAACTTTGAACTTGAGAAAGATGATTTAGGGTATCTGGTAGAAGAAATTTCTTAGCAGCAAAGCATTCAAGAGGTGGCTTGGGTACTCTTAAAAGCATTCAGTTTTAGTCATTCACAGAGACATGGTTTGGAATTGGAACTTAGGTTTAAAAGGGAAGCAGAGCGTAAAAGTTCAGAAAATTTGCAGTCTGGCAATGTGATAGAAAGTAAAACCTCATTTTCTGAAGATAAATTCAAGCCAGCCACAGAAACTTGCATAAGTAACAAGGACGCAAATGTTAATCACCAAGACAATGGGGAAAATGTCTCCAGAGCATGCCAGAGGTCTTCGTGGCACAGCCTCCCATCACAGGCCCAGAGTCCTAGAAGGAAACAACGGTTTCATGGGCTGAACCCCGGGCCTTCCTGCTTTGTTCAGTCTTGGGGCTTGGTGCCCTGTGTCCCAGCTGTGACTAAAGGGGGTCAAGTTATAGCTCAGACTGTTGATTCAGATGGTGCAAGTCCCAAACTTTGGTGGCTTATACATGCTATTGGGCCTGCAGGTGCACAAAAGTGGAGAACTGAGGATTGGGAACCTCCACCTAGATTTCACAGGATGTATGGAATTCCTTAATGTCCAGATAGACATTTGCTGCAGGAATGAAGCCCCCATGGAGAACCTCTGCTAGGGCAGTAGAGAAGGGAAATGCAGGGTGGCAGCCCCCACAGAAAGTCCCCCCGAGACACTGCCTAGTGTAGCAGTGAGAATAGAGCCACTGTCCTCCAGACACCAGAATGGTAAATCCATCAATATGCTCTTTGAAAAGTGGCAGATACTCCATGCCAGTCTGTGAAACCAGCCAGGAGGGGAGCTGTACCCTGCAAAGCCATAGGGCAGAGCTGCCCAAGATCATGGGAACCCACCTCTTGCATCAGTTTGACCTGGATGTGAGATATGGAGTCAAAGCTCATTTTGGAGCTTTAACTTTTAACTGTCCCTCTGGACTGTGGAATTGCAGGGGGCCTGTAGCCCCTTCATTCTGGCCAATTTATCCCATTTGGAATGGGTGTATTTACCCAAAGATTGTATCCCCATTGTATCCAGGAAGTCACTGACTTGCTTTTGATTTTACAGGCTCATAGATGGAAGGGACTTGCCTTGTCTTAGCTGACACTTTAGACTTGGACTTTTGAGTTAATACTACAGTTATGTAAGACTTTGGGAGACTGTTGGAAAGGCATGATTGTGTTTTGAATAGGAAGGACAGGAGATTTGGGAGGGGCCAGAGGTGGAATGATATGGTTTGGAAGTGTCCCCATGCAAATCTCATGTTGAATTGTAGCTCCCATAATCCCCTGTGTCCAGGGAGGGACCCAGTGGGAGGTAATTGAATCATGGGGCCAGACTTTCCTGTGCTATTCTCATGATAATGAATAAGTTGCATGAGATCTGATGGTTTCATAAAGGGCAGGTTCCCTGCACACACTCTGTTGCTTGCTACCATGTAAGACATGCTTTGCTCTTTCTTCACCTTCCACCATGATTGTGAGGCCTCCCCAGCCATGTGGTACTATAAGTACATTAAACCTCTTTTTCTTTATAAGTTACCCAGTCTCAGATACTTCTTAACAGTATGAAAATGAACGAATACAAGTTCAAAGTTCCACAGCTCTAGGTCAGGGGTAAAATGCCTCCAGTCTCTTTGCTAAAGCATAACAAGAGTGACCTTTGCTCCAGTGTCAAATAAGTTCCTCATCTCCATCTGAGAACCCCTCAGCCTGTACTTCATTGTCCTTATCACTCTCAGCATCTTGGTCAATACCATTCAGCAAGTCTCTAGGAAGTTCCACACTTTCCCACCTCTCCCTGTCTTCTTCTGAGCCCTACAAACTGTTTCAAACTCTTCCCATTACACAGTCCCAAAGTTGCTTCCACATTTTCAAGTATCTTTGTAGCAGTGCCCCAAACTTCTGGTGCCAACTTCCTGTATTAGTCTGTTTTCACAGTGTTATGAAGAAATACCCAAACTTGGTAATTTATAAAGGAAAGAGGTTGAATTTACTCACAGTTCCAAATGGCTGGGAGGCCTCAGGAAACTTACAATCACCGAAAGGGGAAGCAAACATGTCCTTATTCACAGGGTGGCAGGAAAGAGAAGAGTGAAGTGGGAATAACCCCTTATAAAACCATCAGATTTTATGAGAACTCACTCACTATCATAAAAACAGCATGGGGGAACCTTCCCGATGATCCAATCACCTCCCACCAAGTTCTTACCTTGACACTTTGGGGTTATGGGGGTTAAAATTCAAGATGAGATTTGGGTAGGGATGCAGACCCAAACCCTATCAGTGTGGCTCTTTGGGGAACTTGACAATTTGGAAGAAATGGCTGAGTACCTGACAAGACATCTGATTTAGAATCATGAAACTGAGGGAGGAAAAAGTTAAGAGTTTAAAACTTGTCAAGTAGTAGGCAACCTAGTAAACACCACAGAATTTTAGATGGGTAAAATGTTGTTGTACCCAAAGAATAAAAATGTTCCAGAAATATCCCAACCTTCACAGGGACACAAGTCAATTTGAAATCATCTCAATCCTGATCATATTAATATAATCTAGGATTACTAGTAACTCCCACCCAACTGCCTCCAAAAATTACTGGTAAAGTTTCTTTCAAAGAAAGTTTTATCATCCTGGGCATCTAATTTTTCCTACAAGACAAAATTTGCTACGGAAAAATGAATGTAAATCTTGGACCTTTATAAAAAGGTAAAGAACTTTTACTGGCAAAATGAATCAAGAAAAACAGTAGAAACGTAGATTTAATGAGAAAAATGTGACAGTATTCTATCCAATACTAAAATGGGAGATACATATTTTAACTATAAGTATGTACCTATAAGCCCATTCAAGGGCTCACAGAACTCACTGAAGTGATGAGCCTTTTTTTTTTCATTACTTCCTGAATAGCAGAGAATTAGGTCCCTCTCTCAGTATGAGACTCATTTTTTTTTCTACCAGACCATGTGAACTGACATTTCCTGTTTTAGATTTTATTGAAACTAAAAGAAACAATTGTACAACCAAAGGTAAAGTATAACCTTAACCAAAATTATATCTTTAGACATTTTCATAAAGCCATGGGTTCTCTTATTAAGTGCTGGAACCCAGTACTGCTCCTGTTACAACACACATTAAAGATTTCAAATCCCCTGATCCTACTCTTGCAAATAAATCTCCACTGAGTTATGCATGGACGTGTTTAGTAGGGTATATCAGTTGCAAAAACTTATCTTTAAATAGCATGCAAATAAGGCAAGCCCTTCTAGTCTTCAATTCTGAAAGCCCTGTCATATCACTGCTTGAGCTTACCTGCTCTATGACCTGTGCCTCCATCCCAAAGATGGGTCCCACAGGATGTACCTACCAGACACACATGGCCTGCAGTGGTTATAGTAAGATTCCTTTGTCATTTAAATGTTAGGTAAAATTCATCACTGGAATGTTCAGGAACTGGGCATATACACCCTGGAATTTTACAACAGCAAATATATCTGAATTTGGAATCTGTGTCTCAGATGTTATCACCTCTGTGACAGCATCCCTGAAGCCCTCTCTGTGCTACCACTGCAGCATGTTCACTTCTGTATTATGGTTATAACTTCTTCTTCTTTTTTTTTTGTTTTTTTACTTCTACTCACCTACTAGATTGTGACTTGATGGTGAGGACAATGTTACATTCATCTTAGCAGTCCCAATGCTTGACACTATATCTAGCATGCTCAAAAAATTTCCTCCAAAAAGACTGAATAAAACTTTTAAAAGCATTCTTTAGGTTTACAGGTCATAGACATAAATTACTGGAAGGTAACAGCTATCCCATAGGGCACATTAGAGAGACTGGTATTCCAACAGCTACATGGTGTGGAGCCATACAAAACAGCTAAAGGTGAGGCCCTCCAGGTGGGGCTTCTTCAGTACTTTCTCTCTGTCTTTGCTGCATGCTTGTTATGGTCTGCATCCAACCTTGTAAAGTCAGCCAATAATTTTTCCAACATTTTCTTTCTGTTTTTTTTTGTTGTTGTTTTCTTCTTTTTTTTTTTTTCTTCAAGACAGAGTCTCACTCTGTCACCCAGGCTGGGGTGAAGTGGCGCAATCTTGGCTCACTGAAACTTCCATCTCCCAGGTTCAAGTGATTCTCATGCCTCAGCTTCCTGAGTACTGGGGCTACAGGTGCGCACCACCACGCCCGGCTAGGCTAACTTTTTGTTTTTATTTTTGGTAGTGATGGGGTTTGGCCATATTGCCCAGACTGGTCTCAAACTCCAGAGCTCAGGCAATCCACCTGCCTCAGCTTCCCAAAGTGCTAGGATTACAGGCATGAACCACTGCGCCCAGCCAATTTCTTCATTCATAGGCTAAATCTGTGAGGGACACACTTTTTCCAACATTAGCTGCAAAGGGTTGTCCCTCTGCACTTAAGTCACGGTCAGTTAGTGTTTTTTCTTTCTTTCTTTCTTGTGCTTTTGTTTTTATTTGGGAAAACCCATTTCTTGGTAGTAAGAAATTACTTTTTTTTACATGCAAGGTCAAACCATGGGATGAATTTTCTTCCACACCTATATATACTTTTTTATTCCTGCCTCTGGCTGTAAGTACTTGCACAGTTAAAAGCAGAATGGACTTAATGGCGTATCATTTGTATTTATAATTCCTGTATTTGTAATTCTGCTACAGAGATGAATTCTGTTATTATACTCAAAATTTACACTGTTATTTGACTTCTTGAAAACTATGTAAAAATAATGCTCTTGTGGCTTTTCATAGGTTTATAGTCTATACACATTAATTTTAATCAATTCATATCATTTATGATTAATTTTATTATGGGAAACAGATAACAATAAAACACATAAACATAATTATTTTGTGACAGATGGTGTGTTTGGAGTGTTTACTATCACCCTTGAATATGATATTGGAAAATCATATTCAAGGGTGATAGTATTGGAAAATACTGATTTTATAATGTACCTTTAAGAAATTATATAAAATATATAAAAGTATATAACCTTATACACATTTTTAAAAACAAGGCCTTGTTGTAGAAAAAAGATTATACTATGCATGAAGATGTTTTGTTTTCTATTGTTATATGAGTTTATTTTAAAAGCCATTGCTGCTCTGTTTATATATATAAATAAAGCGAGCCCTTCTAGTCTCCAGTTCTGAAAGCCCTGTTATATATCACTGCTTGAGCTTACCTGCCTGTGACCTGTGCCTCCATCCCTCTGAACCAAAGATGGGTGCCACAGATGTACCAGACACACAGTGGTTCTGAGTGGTTATAGTAAGATTCATTTGCCATCTAAATGTTAGGTAAAATTCGTTGGTGGAATGTTCAGGAACTGGGCACATAGACCCTGGTGGTTTACATATTTATATATATAAACATATAAATATATATATGAACATATACATATATATATAAACATATATGTATATATAGAAACATACATGCATATATATATATATATATATATATATATATATATATACACACATAGACCAGCAGAATAATGGCCTCTAGCTCCATCCATGTCCCCGCATAGGACATGATCTCATTATTTTTTATGGCTGTATAGTATTCAATGGTATACTCAGTTTTCTTTATCCAGTTTACTATTAACAGGCATTTAGGCTGATTCCTTGCTGTTGTGAATGTCAGGTCTCTGTATGCAGCCTGAAAGTCTGAAGTCCTGCTTGCCTTGGCTGATGGTCTCCCACCCCACCACCTGCATTCACCATTGTCCCTGATCACCCAGCAGAGCTTCCCCGGACAAGCCCCCCTCATCCAACCCTGCCATCTTAACTGTTCTTATGATAATGTGAACACCTCTTGCCCATCCTTAGCTGCTCTTCTGCCTTACCCCCGCCTACCATTGCAACTGAACCTGTGGTCATGCATACTCCTTGCCCCTACCCCCACCACTGTAACTGATCTTACTCTGCAATACCCCCACTCCCCAAAAAACTACCCCAACCAATAACGCCAATTTCCACCTTTCCCACTTCGCCTGTCCTTTCTCGGATTCGGCTCGCTTGCACCCAAGCAAGAAATAAAACAGCCTTGTTGCCCACACAAAGCCTGTTTGGAAGATCTCTTTATTAAATGTATTTAATATTCAGTACTATTGGACGTGAATAACAGTGAACAGTGTTGCAAGGAACATACATGTTCATGTGTCTTTATGACAGAATGATTTATATTCCTTTGGGTATATACCCAGTCATGGGACTGCTGGGTTGAATGGTAATTCTGTTTTTAGGTCTCTGAGGAAATGCCACACTGTTTTCCAGAATGGTTGAGCTAATTTACACTCCCACCAAGTGTATAAGCATTCCTTTTGGAAACAAATTTTATCCGTGTATTCAATTTTTTTTTTTTTTTAGTATATTCGATTCTTAACACCCATGTTTTAGACTGTTAAGCCTATTGGCCTTTAGTCACTATTTCCTTACAAATTGAAATGTAAAACAGGCGAAAGAGAAAGAAGGAAGAAAGGAAGGAGGAGGGAGAAAAGAGAGAAAGACAGAAAGACAAAAAAAGGAGAGAGAGAAGGAAGGAAGAGGAAGGAAGGAAGGAAGGAAGGAAGAAGGAAGGAAGCAAAGAAGGAAGCAAGGAAGGAAGGAAGGAAGGAGAGAGAAAATTGTCTCTGGGGTAGAACTATTCCTGCTACTGCTTGGATACTGGGTACTAGCTGAGATTACCCTTTCTGGATGTAGAATGCAGAGATTCCAAAAGTGTTTCTCATAGAAAAAGTCTGCATTCAAATTGTTTTAAGGTTACTCTATCCAAAACCCAGAGAATCCACAGCAGTTGAAGCAGTAATTTTAGCTTCTTTTGGTGTCTCGTACAGGCATTTAAGGCCAATTCCTTCCTCCAAATTCCCATGTGTTTTGTAGTTACTAACAAACCTTTCAAACCTATTAGTTTATATACATCATATAGTCCTCTATCAATTGCATAAAAGTTGTCCCCTTTGTGACCCTGATCCCCTTCTCCAATACACATCTACTCAGAATGCAGGTCTTTAAACAGCAGGCTGCCTTGCAAAACCTCTCCAACCTTCTTTGATCTTCAGCTTTGAGATGCAAATTCCTAGATCCCATATCATCTTCTTCATCATACCATAAACGTCTGCACATACTGATGAACGTTTTGAAGAATCGATTTATGCCAAGAGCATTTACTCTTCCTGCTTCCGCGGCTTCTTCATGATGGTCCTGGTCGCAGGGCCTATCCCACCTTCTGGGCATGCCGCCCTTGGGAAGTGCCTGAATCTCCCCACTCACCCAACTAGCCTCAGCGCCTCCTGTGTACTGCGGCCAAAGGCGCGGCAGACAACAGCCTGGTGCCTCCGCGCCTCCTCCCCAGCCGTGATTTATAGGAGGGGACAGCCACATTCCTGCGCCCGGACTTCCACTTCCGCTTCTCTCGCGCGCGAAACTCAAGCTGACACAGTGACTCTGCCGCCAGCGTCCCAGCTCCTCCCACTCCTGCCTGCGATTTCCCGCTCCCTCTCCAGCCCTGCCCAGCCCAGCCCAACCTACCGGCGACTGGGACGCTTTCGCTTTCCAATACTCCGGACTGGGGAAACCCGGAGAACCAAAGCAGGCAAGGACCTCCGTGGGCAGCCGGGCCAGTGAGACAGGGTCCTGCTCGCGGCGTCAAGGAGGAGCGCTGTGGCTGGGTGAGGCTGGCGCTCTCCCTCGGCCTCGCCTTCCCAATCACTCTTTTATGTAAGCACGCCGGCAGGTGTCCCCAGCGCAGCCAATCCGCTTCCGCAGTAGCTGGGTTGTTGTCTAAAGAGAGAAGACAAACTCCAGTATCTTTAAGTCCATTGGCCAGACGAGCCATTCGGCAGGTGAGTTCTATTCTCCCACCGAAACGCTGGATCCCACTGAACTGGAGGGGAAGGTCCCTAAAAATCAGGAGTGCAGGCTTCTGAGACTTGGTGGGAACGGACCCTCCTCTTAGGTGAGTTACTCTTTGGTTCTGGGGCTGACCTGGAATTTTGTACTGCACGTAGTGTGTAGATGTAGCTGCCCGAGGCCCCCGGAACAGCCAGTCTCTCCGCTTTTCCAGCGGTCCATAGAAGCAAAGGAAAGGAAAGATGGCGGTTTAGGCGGGAAGACACGTGGCTGACTTAAAAGTGAAAGAAAGTAACCAATTGGTTGGCAGACAACGGTTCCCAAAAGGCGGGCGATTCAAACTCCTAGCCCCACCTGCTCTGTTTCCCGCCCAGCTGGAGCTCTGGAGTCTTTGCTTCCTCAAAGAGCGGAACGTGCTTTGAGCGCTGGATTCCAGGCCGAGTGCTGCCAAGGCGCGCAGTGAGCCAGCATACAGGGCGCTGGGGGTGCTGCTTTGCAGGGTGTGGGCGCTGCCGCGGAGGGCTCAAATCCAGGCTGGGAGGGGGAGGAGCTGGATGCCGGGAAGCCAGGGACTGACTGCGCCACCCATCTGAGGAGCCCGGAGGACACATGTTTTATTTCGGTGGTGCTGCAAGTCCCCTTGTGTGCTGTGGGGAGTGGGGAGGTGTGGTGGGATTGGAAGAGGCTTAGAGTTACCCTCAACCCCTGCCCCTGCCCCTGCCCCTGCCCCTGCCCCTGCCCCTGCCCCTGGAAAGGCAGAAAAGGTGGCGGGGTTGGGGTGGGGAGAAGCAGGAAGAGGAGGGTGAAGGAGGGGAGGACAGGGAGAGAAGCAGAGAGTGGGGAGGAGAGAGAGAAGGTACGAGAGATGAGAGACAGACAGATTCCTAAAGGGAGCTGGACATGGACCCTATGGGACAGGCTGCTCTGCTTTATCCCTTTACTGTAGGAAGTCAAGCAAGTCCTTTAGGTAAGTAGAATCTTGACCTCAAGTATAAAACAGGGGTTGGAATAGGATAGCTAAGGGCACTTTATATTTTGATATAACCTGATTCATCCTGAATACTGAAAACAATGTAGAGAGAGGGAAAATACTGGCGTGGTTTCTTAACCTCTTGCCCATTTCCACCGTGATTTCTCAAGTACATGCAAAAATTCATGTTTCCTTCTGTCCATTTTATTTTCCTTTTTTAGTCTGTCTATTAATCACTCCTAAAGCACCTGGATCCTCTCTCAAGCTTCATAAGATGAGACATCATTAACAGACACAATGAATCACCAGATTTTCCTAATAGTTGGGCAACTATTCTTAATGGTTGGGCAAGTTCCTGCATTTAAAGATCTTGCAACATAGCCCAATTCCGCAATTATATTTTTTCTATTTTAATTTTCCTAGGTTCTCTGCTGTTTAAAGAGTACCCCTGTGGTAAGTGTATTGATACTGATAACATTTACCTCACCTTTTTATTTTGCTAGATTATTTACTGGGCAACCTATTACATACAGGCCAGTGTTTTAAGGGCTTTGCATGCAATATATATGTATATGTATATATAAATACACATATATGTATGTATATGTATATATAAATACACATATATGTATGTATATGTATATATAAATACACGTATATGTATGTATATGTATATATATACTTTTTTTGAGACATAGTCTTGTTGTGTTGCTCAGGCTGGCTTGCAGTGGTTTGATCTTGGCTCACTGCAACCTCTGCCTCCCAAGTTCAAGCCATTCTCCTGCCTCAGCCTCCCAAGTAGCTGGGATAACAGGCACCCACCACCATGCCCAGCTAATTTTTATATTCTTAGTAGAGAAAGGTTTTCACCAGGTTGGCCAAGCTGATCTTGGACTCCTGACCTCAAGTGATCCACCAGCTTTGGCCTCCCAAAGTTCTGGGATTACACGCGTGAGCCACTGTGCCAAGCCCACATTGTATTTCTCAGTCTTCACAACAAGGTTGATTCCCATCTTAGGGTGACGAATATGAAGGAAAAATAGTTAATTAATATGCCTGAGGTCATGTAGTTAGTAAGTGGCTACCTGATATTTGAATTCAAATGGTCTTAGAAGTTCTCACGTTGTTTTAGCACTTCGGTATTTCTTATCTTTTTGGGAATAATTGCTTCTTTTTACAAACAAGAAACTGAGGCTCAGAAAGGCTAAATGAATTTCCTTGTCATTCACTGACAGTAAACTAGAGAACCAGGACTCTTGCTCCATAGTGGAACGGTTACGAGAGTAAACATAACCTTTAGATAACTTCCATTTGACAAGAAATACAGGGGCTAGGACATAAATAAAACAATGACCCAGAAGGTGAACATTCTATAGAGGAAATTTCTCTGTTCTCTTCAACAAGTCAATGCTTTTTCTACCATTAAAGAGTTTTGTAAGACATAAAGGAAACTGTGTACCTCAGTTGGATCTTGGTGTGAGTAAATCAGTATTGTGATTATGTAAGAAAAAGTACTTAATTTTTAGAGATGGGAAGTGACCATTAGAGTTTAAATGTCATGATGTTTCTAGCAGTAACATAAATAATCCAGTAAAATAAAAGGATAGTATAAGGGTAGCCAAACCCAGGTTTAGCAACTCACACCTCAAAAGCCAAACATGAGAAATGAGAGCTGGTAGGATGAAAAGCAGGCTCCTTCAGAGAGCGAGCCAGCAAACTGAGAATATGGCAGACTAGCATCCCAAAGTTAGTACAAGATTTAGGCTCTTTATGTTAAAGGCATGAGAAAGAGAAAGGAGTTACAATCAAGAGGTGACCATTGACTGCAGACGTCTGAGCACCATCACGGGTCAAAGAAGGTTGGGAATGTCTTTGCCCTATGTTCCAATGAGCCCTAGCATTGATTTGTTGGAGAGAACAGATAAACTGTCTCTATAAAATGTTGATTTCCTGGGCTGCTTCTATGTGCTGTTACTTAACTTACGTTCTAGCCCCTGTATTTCTTTTCAAACGGAAGTTATCTAAAGGTTATATTTATTCTCCAGGTCGCAGCACTCCTATAAATCTTTAACAATGCATAGTTGTTTACATACTTTCCCTCTAATCCCAGAGTTAGTTCGCAAAATTACATGACTACTGTTTTTACATATTATCTCTCTGCTCTAAAATTAACCTAGCCTCTATGCATGGATGGGTAAAGGCCTCCTTGAACTAAAATAGAGTTAATTTGTTATTTCTTTTACTGTTTCACTGTTATATAAATTGATTTAAAAATGAACAATTATTAACTCTATATGATAGGTATGTAGAGGTTCATTTTACCATTCTCTCTTTTTCCTGTAATAAATTGTTCATACTAAAAAGTCTTGAAAGTATGTTCTCTCAGTTCTATGACCTTGAGTAAAAGCTTAAGCTCCCTGAGTGTTCAAGCTTTTTATCAGTAAATTGAGATGAATAATACCTATCTCATAGGGCTGTAAGAATTACATGAGGTAGTTGATGAAAAGCATAGTACAGGGCATAGTACACCATATCCCTACTCCATTCATTTATTGAATGTATTTTTAGAAATGTATCTTTTTCAAGGGCTTTGCATGTGCCAGACATTGTTTTAGATCTGAGGTACTAAGGACAGACATGGCTGCTGTCCTCAATGGTATTTATCTTTCTAGTGGTATTTATTACTATTGAAGATGTCACTATTTTATTTAAAGTTTATCCTCTTTTAGGGAGACATCAGAGGAAAGATAGAAGGAAAATACCTCTTTAAACAAAAAAATCTAAAGCAGTAACTAAGGTTTCTGGCTATCATTCTGGGCAAACTTCCCAGGTTTCTTTTTAAAATTTCATTCCAAATTTCTTTCATGAGTTCTTTCCTCACCACTTCCCTGTAATTTTATCTCCCCTTGCCATCTTCATCTTAAACGGACACCAGATTTTTTTTATTGCATTTTAGGTTTTGGGGTACATGTATAGAACGTGTAAGACATTTGCATAGGTACACACATGGCAGTGTGTTTTGCTGCCTTCCTCCCCTTCACCCACATTTGGCATTTCTCCCCAGGCTACCCCTCCCCAGCTCCCCACCCCCGAACGGAGACCAGATTTTAACATCAATGTAACTAGAACATCTTTTTGAAATTTCCAACTGAAAATTATTCTATAAGGGATTTATACCTGCATTTGAATTCCATCTCTGCCAGATAGCCCTGCCTTTCACAGCTCGTCCACCTTCTCTAAGATATACTTTCTGTCAGCAAAGTGTAGATATACCTAATTTTCCTGGTATCTATGGGAACTTGCAACTAGAGATGATTTTCATAAGGTGTTTAGTATAATTTTCATAAAGTACCTGACACACAGTGTTCTGGAAAAGAGAGCTTTTATTGTTGGGGTGATTATAGTTGGTGAATAAACTATTTGCTAAGGTAACATCTCCAGGGAGAGCAAGGCTGGAGCTCAAGGGGAAAGGTGGGACATAGGACATCAGCTTATCTTTTCCTCTGTACAATTAATGACAGCTTTGAAGATACTGCTGTAACTTGAAATTTTGAAATTAGTGTTTCAGCTGAACCACTCATTCATCTTCAAGCCATCATGAGCTGTAAGAAGCGGAGGTCACAGAAGCACTCAGTTAAAGAAAACTGTAATATGAAAATCGAGGACTATTTTTCTCCGGTATGTCTGTAAATTCTACTTAAGTAATATAATCGTCTCTTGGTACCTATGTGGGATTTGTTCCAGGACATCCCTTGGATACCAAAATCCGTGAATGCTTAAGTCCTTTATATAACACGGCATATTATTGACATATAACGTATCATATGCTCCTGTATACATTAAATCATCTTTAGATTATTTATATTACCTAATACAAGGTAATTGCTATATAAAATGTTGATATACTGTGTTGCTTAGGGAATAATGACAAGAAAAAGTATATATATGTTTAGTTCATGCAAATTTTCTGAAACTTTTCAATTAAAAATATCCCTGAATATTCTCAATCTGCGGTTGGTTGAACCCGTAGATACAGAACCCACGGATACTGAAACCTGGCTGTTTACCAATATTAGACTTAGCTATCCTTGACATAGTTCTTCTTGCCAAGAAATTACCTTGTGTGTTGGGAATATTAAATAAGTTTAAATCGTTTTTACTTATTTTATCTATTTTGGGGGTAGCATGGAGAAGGGAGTTGTAATGCATATCTTGGCTATATCAAAGCAGTCTTTAATAAAAAAACTATTGTAATTTTCCTTGAAAAAAAATTCAATACAATACGTCACAGTAATTTATAATAGACTGAAATTAATACTATTTCATAGCATGAAAACATATACCATTCGAAATATGACTGATCTATTCAATCATAATTATAACCTACATTTGAATACAGTTTATAAAACAATGTTTTATGTATGTGTTCTTACCATAACCTCATTAGGCAGTTAGGAAGGATTCTGACAAATCTTCTATTTGTTTACTGGAGGAGAGAGGGAAAGTGAGTCGTTGCTTGAGGCAGGAATGAAGTGAAGACTTGGAGTTAAGTTTAATGATGTGTAGTTGGGCCTTTTTCTACTGATTGGGCTCTGTTATCATATCAAACCATGGTATCTTTCCCTGAGTCTAAAAATCTCTTTGAATTTATCAAGAAAAAAGGTAGAGGAATGGTAAGCAGTTGAGTGTGAAGCTTACAATTTCTCAGCTTGTTTTCTTTTGTCCTGATTCTGGTAAACTAGAATATATCTAAAAAGTCTAAGGCAAACTTGGTTATGTTTTTCTCTGCCCTACTCCATGACAGAGCTAATTACTATATCCTATTCCCCTTCCCCTTTCAGCAGGGTCTATATCTGCCCAAGAATCATTTGAATGCATAGGAAGTTTATTATAATATTCCAATAGGGTATATGACGAAGATGTTTCTGACAGCATTAGGCTGAAGGGATGCTCATTTATATGCATGCCCAGGGTAAATCTGTATTACCTTAAGTTCATTTTATTTATTTATTTTAGATCTGTAATATTAATATAAAGAAGGAAAACAAATGTTAACATATTATGTGCTAGTCATTGTGCTAGGCATTGTCATACAATAATGCTAAACTTAATATTTACAATATTTCTGGCATTGTTATTCCCATTGGTAGTAAGAGGCATGGCTGGCATATGAACCCACATCTGCTGGTACCCATGCCATGATGAATATGACTTGGGGAAAATGTGTCTTTTAGGCATAGGAAACAGATATTCTAATTTTTCATCAAGTTTCTACTATTTGATTAGTCCTCTTTATTTAATTCCTCTCCCTAGCTCCACCCCTGTTTCTTAAGATAATGCCCTACAAAAATGGCAGTCATAAATATAAAGTTTATAAAAAAGAATATATACACTAGTCCAATGGAAAAAATAAGTCCACTAGAAATTGCAATTTTGATACTCACTTTATTTATTGGTTATTATGTGGCCCTAGAAGATACCTTCAGAAAAACTTTCTGTGCCTTAGTTTCTCCATCAAAAGGACAGAACAGTCATGTTTGTTCCTCTTTATTTTATAAAATTTTGGGATTAGTTGATGTCTTAGAGAAAATAATTTAAGTTTTCATGATATATGCTGGGTGAATTGAAGTATTTATTGCTAAAAATAACTATACTATAACCAAATGATTAGTTAAATAATCATGATTTTGTTTTATATGTAATGCTTATAATAAATTATTGTAACTTACTGAATTCAGTATTTCAAGAACAAATTTTTGACTGTAATTCATCATTGTCCTCAGAAAATATGAAAATTATGTAGCTGAAGATATTAAGGAAGACCTGAAATAACACTATTTTGAATACTACTGGACTTTTTTTTTTTGAGATGGAGTTTTGCTTTGGTTGCCCAGGCTGGGGTGCAATGGTGTGATCTCGGATTACTGCAACCCAGGTTCAAGAGATTCTCCAGCGTTTGCCTCACGAGTAGCTGGGATTACAGGCATGTACAACCACACCCAGCTAATTTTTGTATTTTTAGTAGAGATAGGGTTTTACCCTGTTGGTTAGGCTGCTTTTTAACTCCTGACCCTCAGGTGATTCACCCGCCTCAGCCTCCCAAAGTGCTGCGATTGCAGGCATGATCCACCATGCCTAGCCACTAGTGGACATTTAAGAATCTCTGTTTTTGATGTACCTGGGAAAATATTGTTTCTTCCCTCACATTTTTTAGAAAAATTCACTAGTATAGTAGTATCAAGAGTTTATCTCACAGCTGTTATGGGAAGCTCAGCTTTCCTTTTGGATCCTAAGTCAAACACTGATTTAATTCTATTCACTGGCCCTTTTAGATAGGTTCTGAGTTTCTCATAGGACTTTTGTGAATTTCATAACTGAAAAGAGAACCGAAAGACTAGGGTTGCATTCGGATTTTAAAAGATCTAACATTTATTTTTAGGTGTCTAAGGAGCAAAAGAATAATCCAAGTACTTCTCAAATGAAGATGGTGTCTAGACGCAACCCAAGAGACATAACTAATACCCAGGCTCAACAATTCCATTCACCTAAGAAAAATCAAGAAAACCAGACCATGCCCCAAAATAAGATAATACATGTTACCCTGCATGTAAATCACAAGAAAAACCAAGAAATGAAACATGTGCTCACACATAGTGAGAATGGTAGTTTATATACGGCTCTCAACACTCTCCAGGCTGTCAGTCAAGAGATAGAAACTCACCAAGGCCAAGAAATGCTTGTGCGTGGTGCAGAAGGAATTGAAGGGTACATAAACCTTGGAATGCCCCTCACTTGTTTTCCTGAAAGAAGCCGTGTGGTCATTACATTTTCCCAAAGTAAAACTAAGCAGAAAAAAGATAACCAAGTATTTGGCCGGCATGACAAGGCATCAACTGATTGTGTCAAATTCTACATTCATGCAATTGGAACTGGGAAGTATAAAAGAAAAATTGTTAAATGTGGGAAGCTTCACAAAAAGGGGTACAAACTCTGTGTCTATGCTTTCAAAGGAGAAACCATCAAGGATGCTCTGTGCAAAGATGGCAGATTTTGTTCCTTTCTAGAGAATGATGATTGGAAACTCATTGAAAACCATGACTCCATTTTAGAAAACACCCAGCCAGTTGATGAATTAGAAGGCAAACTCTTCCAGGTTGAGGTTGACAACAGAATGGGCCCCAGTGAAGCAGGTCCTCAGAATCCTGAGTCAGAGAAAAGAAACACCTGTGTGTTGAGAGAAGAAATCGTGTCTCAGTACCCCAGATTAAAAAGAGAAATTGAAAAAATCAGGGAAAACTTCAAGCAAAAAATGAAAGGAAAAAATGGGAAAACATTATTTAAATTGCATAAAACAAACTTTGGGAAAGTAACAAAAAACTCTTACTCTGTGAAAGTACTGAAACTTCTTGCACATCTCAGTGACTCGGTTGGGTACTTATTCTGGGACGGTGCAACTGCAGGTTGTGCCACCTGCTTTGTTTTTAAAGGATTGTTCATTTTAACTTGTCAGCATGTAATAAATGACATTGTGGGAAAAGGAATAGAGCCAAGTAAGGGGGCAGACATAATTGGTCAATGTGTAAGGGTGACATTTCGTTATGAAGAGCCACAAGAAAAGGAAATGAACTGCTTTTCCGTTGAACCTTGGTATAAGATATATAGTGAAGAGCTTGACTATGTTGTCCTGAAACTGAAGGAAAATGGAAAACAGGTACCTATAGAACTATATAATGGAATTGCTCCTGCGCCACATAGTGGGTTGATACATATTATTGGCCATCCAGATGGAGGAAAAAAGCAAACCGATGCTTGTGTTGTGATTCCTCAGGATCAGCGAGCAAAGAAATGTCAGGAACGTGTTAAGGCTAAAGCAGCAGCAAGTCCAGAGTTTGTTCATATGCACACTCCAAGAAGTTTCCAGAAAATAGTTTCCAACCGTAATGTGATTACCTATGACACTGAGTTTTTCTTTGGGGCTTCTGGCTCCCCAGTGTTTGATTCAAAAGGTTCATTGGTGGCCATGCATGCTGCTGGCTTTCCTTATGAGTACCAAAATGAGTTTGATAGTATCATTGAGTTAGGCTGTACTATGGAATCCATTCTCCTTGATATTAAGCTAAGATATAAACCATGGTATGAAGAAGTATTTGTAAGTCATCAGGATATAGAAATGATGAGTGATGAGGACTTATGAGAATTCAGTCTATTAGATTTAGAGGAATGGCTTATGGAGTTATTTCATAGGCATTGATGATAGTTTTCTAAATTCCAAAATGGTCAATTTTATCAATAATAACACTTGACCATTTCCTATCTGTCAGCCACTTTTCTAAGTACATGAAGAAATTAGTCCTAACAACACTATGAGATGGACTATAACCTGCAATATTTTAAAGTCAAGCAATGTGAAGAATAAGAAGATTAAATAATAATCAGTTTCATGACCCTGAAAGTCATGTAATCACTATTTTTTTATCTTTCATATTTTTGTGTAAATTCATTTGCTACAGGGCAGGAATCAAAATTTGTTCATCTCATTATTCCCTACATCTGACATAAGGCAAGTAAGTGCTCAGAAAAATGTGCAGGTCACTCAGTAGCAAAAGTTGAGGCTGAGGTTAATGCTAACTTAGGAGCTAAATGCTTGATTAGGAATGATCTCAGAATCTTTTAGAATTTCCAGAATCCTCATATTACTGAAACTGTCAGAATACGTGGGTCCTGAAGTTCAGAAGATGATAGTCATTCTTCCCATTATAGGCTATTAAGGCAAGGGATATCCTAGACATCATATTACTTTATTTAGATTTCTTCTATTCCAGTTAGTAATGTTATGTATGACTCATTGTTTTACTTCTTCACGGTATTGTGAAGACTGTATAGATGATTCAGCCAAGCCTGCAAATCTCCCTCATCTGGAATTCCCCTGGACTCAATCTGTTTTCCATTGCCAGTGCAATGCTACTAAAGCCATACAATATCAAGCACCCTCCGTCTAGGTCCAGGGACTATCACAGGAGAGGTGGGCATTTTAGATTGTAAGGGTTGGTTTCAAGGGTGCAGTATAGGAAAACAGGCTGTTGCATTGCAAGGGTGATGTCATCTTGAAGTGCAGCTGCCGTGGTGACTGCTGTTTGACTCATGCATACCAAGATATTCTGCAGCAATGTCTTTTTTTTTGGGGGGGGGGTGGCGGAGGAAGGAAGGGAGGAAGGCGGGAGGGAGGGAAGGGAAGGAAGGAAATCAAGCAATGAGAGAAACAAGCAGTGTCTTTAAACAATGCCGGGAGTATAGATAATCCCTCATAAAGATGCTTAGCTAACCTCCCCAGTGGTCAAGTGTTTCACAAGAAAGTCTGAGATGTGACCAGCTACACGTTTTGCCAAAAAGGCTTCCTATGTGAAAGGTATTTTGGGGAGGGTGAGTGCTGCCATTTGGTGGTTGCTGGAAACATTGCTTCTGTAAGGTCCTATTAAATGTTTCTTTCTGAAAAACTAATTGTCAGCCTCTTTCTTTGGCCTCTCAGTTTCTTTGGTCTTTGGGGGTAGGTTTGCATAGACCTGTTCACCATGGAACACCTGGAGACTTTTAATGAAGAATGCTATTAGAAACCACGATCTAGGTACTAGATATGCTCATTGCTACTGGGATGTTGTTTTTTTAGCCCCCTCAGCTGACAGAGCAAAGAAATATATGTGAATATATTTACTCATATATGTAGGCGTACACATGTGTATATGCCTTTCTTATCTGTAAATTCCAACTCCAAACACTGAGAAGCATGACGCCTGCCATCTCTCACACATTCACTTAATTGCTTAATCCACGTATACATATATAGCAGTGTCAGAATTGTTAACTTCTACCTCAATGGGAAATAACTTTATCAACTCAAATCCAGTGCCTATGTGCAATTTCCGTGCTTGTAGTCTTACGTACTCCATTCATTCCCAGTGTTATTCCCGTCACCATCTTGTTTCTCACCTCCTTCAGTGAGGTTGTTTTACATGCTTACAATACAGTTATACATACATAGAATAGTTAGATTCTCTTGTCACAGGGTGAATTCTTTCCTTTGACCCCTTGCCCTCCTAAATGATACTTTAATGTGTATACATTGATTGCTCTGTGCTGTAAAGTTCTACACGTTTTATCTTACAGAATAGTTACATCACCCTAGAAATCTGTGCTTTACCTATGTATCCCTCCCCTCTCTCCGGACCCCAGTAAAAATAAATAAATCACTGATGGTTTTACTGTCTTTATCGTTTTTGCATCTTCTAGAATGCTATATAATCAAATTCTATTATATATTGACTACATTTTCCACATTTTTTTGATGTTGGTGATTTTTCTGCTTAAATGGCCCCCATGCATAAAACTGAAGTTCAGTCTAGTGTTCCCAAGCAAAAGGTGGCTGTGGTATGCCTTATAAAGGAAATGTTTGTGTTATAGAAGCTGGAGAAACTTTTCAGACATGAGTTATAGCACATTTGGCTGTGAGTTGAATATTTTGGAATCAACAATTCATATTAATAAGATGTCTTTTCAACCTAAACACACATAAAGCAAGTTTATTTACCAACTTTGATGAAAACGTTGTGATCAGAAGATGATAGGAATTCAACACTGTTACTCCTAAAGGCAATGCTTCAGTATTTGTTAATTCAGTATTTATGACATCTTTATAGACCGTAACTACCACAAGTAATGAGATTTGACTGTATCATTTCAAATATGGCTTCAAGTCTAATGCCTGTCTAATCACCACAGAGACTTAAAACTTATGTGGCTTTACTGTTTATTACATAATTTATGACATATTATCTTAATACCTATTAGATAGACCAGATATTATTATACTTGTTTCCCATGTGAGAAGGAAGTATCACTGAATTTTTGCCGAAATTGCTGGTACCTTGGAAAGACTGGGACTTGTGTCTTGAAATATAGCTAATTCTTTCTCCTAACTGAGCTGGTGCATTGGAACCAGACACCACTATGGCCATTCCTGCATCTAAAATACACCCACCTTTGATCACTTAAGAAATATTATAAGCATTTCAGAATGTAGCAAATACCTTTTTCTGATTTTCTCTTGTCTTAGCTCTAAAGACAAGGTAGCTAGAAAATTCAACTTAGGCCTGGAATTGTCACTTAGTCCTCCAATTCACAGTTACAGAGCTAGTCCAATATCCCATTCTACCCCATATCTCCCTCTGAAATGAGATAATGGTCTGAACAAGGTTGTAGAGCGGTTCACTGTGCCTGACCCTAAGTGCAGGCACTATACTTACCCTACATACCTGTAAATGTGTCTTTATTTGGACAAAGATGCTCTGCAGGTGTAATTAAATTAAGATTCAGGAGACAAGATCATGCTGAGACAAGATCATCCTCACTGGGTGAGCTCTAGATCCAGTAACGAGTGTCCTCATAAGTAAAGAAGAAACACGGAGGAGAGACCCAGAAAGAAAGGCCGTGTGAAGGTGGAGGCAGAGATTTGAGAGATACATCTAGAACCCGGGGTTGTCAGGGATTGCCAGAGGCCAGCAGAAGCTAGGAAAGCAGCGTGGAATAGGTTCTCCTCAAAACCTCCAGAAGGAACCAACCCTGGTAACATCTTGATTTCAGACTTCTGGTCTTCAGAACTGCTGTAAGAGAGTAGATTTCTGTAGTTTTAAGCCACCAAGTTTTGGGTAATTTGTTATGAACTAGATGGATTAAAATAATATATTCTCTTACAATTATGAGAGGACAGGTTTGTACAACCTGAAATCAAGGTGTTTTCAGGGCTGTGCTTTCTCCAGAAGGTGCGGTGCGGGAGAGGGTGAGGGAATTAAGGCCCCCCACTGACCTACCTGTTAATGAGTCTGAGTGGCCAGAGGTGTGATTGAAATAAGCCACCCAAATGATTCTGTGGTTGTTACTCATGTGACTCAGTCTCCTCTGGGCAGGAACAGGAAGGGATGTTCTCATGACAATGTAGCAGCAAGCCCCACAACCCAACAGAAAAGCAATGTGGTTGTGGCCACTGGGTAAAGCATCGTAAAGTTAAAATAAGATGGTGTCAGCAATAAGAGCCTTGATATTTGATATATCGCTTCACGTAAACAAAAACATTTGGTTGAATCCAAAGCAGTCATTCAAAACTAAAAATGGATGTAGCCAATTTCTTATCCTTTTGCCCCTCTTTAGCCCATCCCTTTCCTTCTGCCTCAACCTCAGCTGCTTTTAGAGAAAGATAATTAGAGATGCAGCTGAGATCTTTGTCCTTAAATGGGTTGGGGTCATGCACATCTGTGTGCGTATGCCAGGGAACTTCAGGAAGTGAAGGGCTCAAGCTTATGGCTCTGTTGGCTTCAGGTGCCCAAGTCACCATCCTACCCTGTCCTGTAAAAGAAAAAGATGTTGGACACAGGCATGAATAAAGGCACCAAGGACTAATGGATGGAGCTGAGGCAGTTGTGTGTAAGGGTAGAAAGGGATTTCTGAGCCTGGGTTTTCACCAAATACTGAGAGGTGCATGGAAAGGAATTAACACTTGCCCTTGGATGCTGACCCTGGAGCAAGGAGCTAAAGGAGGGAAAAGGCTAACAACGAAGTTTTCATCCCTCTCTCTCTACTGTGATCCATTTGCCGCCCTAGCTGTCCTTTGTCAGTCACTCTGAACTTCCCTGGGATTCTGTACAGGTGCAATTGTTGGAGCCTGATTTTCATTGTACTCCTTTGGGGGGAAAGTAAAGGAATTCAACTGACAAGGTTTAGGCATGATTTCCTGTGGGAGAAAGAAAACTAAACGTTATGGATGGGGCTCCTTGGGTGGATTCAACGTACAGTTGTGGAATGATGTTTTGTGCCTTCACTTCCTCATCTCGTGTCAGAGAGGATCACCCTGTTCCGCAGCTGCTTCCTGTGGGACCTGTAGATCAACCTCTCAATCTGTTTCCCCGTCCCCTCACAGTAGTCTAGCAACAGCAATATAGACTCTCAAAAGAATGGGAAATCCCAGCTTTGCTTAAATACCGTAGTGCTCAGAGGCCATTTCCTAGGACAACATTGCCACCTACTGGAGGCAGCCACCACGTACACACCAACAAAGGCAGCCATCAATTAACCTGCTGCTAAACCCTTGAGATCCACTGCCTAACTCAAGGGGGCCTCTTCTATCTGGCATCCCTTTTTGGGGATGGGTCAACTAAGACTCATTGATCAACAAAGGAAGAATCCAAAAGGCCAAAATATCAGTTAGATGAAAATGGTATATTCAAGAGCTCAGCCGGGATGGTCTTGGCATCATCATATTGGTTTTACAAGAAAAAAATAAGTCAGATGCCTTTTTGGGTGAAATGTTATCTCTTACTTTGTCACCTGAATTTTGTTATTTTCCTCCAAGGAGGGTTTACTATATCCTCCTGATACAGAGTGAAATTAGATCCTTACAATCTGACTGATAAACAGACCTCTTAATGATCAGATTTCGGTCATGGATAAAACCGACTTGAGGCTGGGTTGCACAATGTCAAGCAAGATTCTGTCTACCTCTGGAGTTGGCTTCACTTCTGGAGTGTAGCCTGGAAGGGCCCCAGCTGAGGCCTTGAGATGTTTTCTAATGTACTCCCACTTCCTGCCTTATCACATTCAGAACTCCGATTTTTATCTCCTCAGCACTGTAAGTCTTTAGGGCACTCTGTTCCACTTTTCAATGGATTACTCCAATGAGCACAAGACACAAAACTTAATGACATCCTTAAGGATCTAAAGGACACAGAAATGATGTTCCCTGTCACGTATGCATTTAGTTCATCAGTTGTAGAGAATGACAGTTCTCTATCACAAAGTCAACCAATTGTTGGGCCAATTACATCCACTGTACCAGAGGCGGAATCTTTGCTAGAGCAAATGTACATTGACTCAGGTACATAGTATATGGCCATTAGTTGAATTAATGTATTCTCTTCTATCTCCATCAGAAAAGGGGATCATAAATTGTTCCACTGACATGGAACAGATAATAGTATACATGTGTATTTTTGCCGTAGGACTATATTAAATATAGTCTTCCTTTTGTTATAATGTAGATAGAAAAGGCCTGGACTACTTGTACTGCCTTCAGACCATCACACCTGTCTACTATATCAATGTTAACATGCTAATTAGCCCAGATGGTAAGAAGTAATGAACACTTTGAAGGTGCTGGTACATAGGCATTTCAGGTGGCAGGAAATAAACTCTGTGAGTAATCAGAGGCCCTCTAAACCGGGGCATGCTAAAACAACCCATCTAAAGAAAAGGATGAGTTATTGAATCTTGCATTTCCCATGAAGAAAAAGAAAGTACACTACCTGATAAACCTCTTTGGGTTCTGAAAGTAGCATATAATACACCTGGGTATACTGTTTCAGCCAGTTTACAGGGGACACTATAGGCTGCCAGCTTTGAGTGGGATCTGGATTAGGGAAGGGTCTCAGAAGATCCAAGCTATAGTGAAAAC